ACGTCACCCCAAAATCTAATTTCCCCACCTGTGCTCAGAGCCACCTCCTCCCTGAATCTCTCCTCTTTTGTGCTTTCCTTGCCCCCTTTTTCAGGCCATGATTCAAATTCTGTCCCCTGAGGCAGATGGCCTAGTACCCTGGAGCCCACAGGGCTCCCTCTGAAACTTCCAGAGCCCTGACAGCAGAGGCTTTTGGCATTCATTCATTCATTGTCCATTCACTCATTTACTCAGCAAATGTCTCTTGGGCAGAGACAAGCTCTCACAATGTCTCCCTCCCTCGTGGCCGGTTCCCTCACGCCTTTCTGACCTCATCACCCACTCTCTGCCCCTTACTCACCCTTTCCATCCACACCCACCCTCTCCGGTTCCTGAAACAGGCATCATCCGCCTCGGGCAACGCTTGTTCCCTCTTCCTGGGACACTCCAGCTGCAGAGCCCCAGACCTGCCTCCTTCGCTCTGGAGCCTCTGCTCCATGTCCCCTGCCCCGCCCACTTCCCTGGATAAAAACTCCGCTGCCTCTCTCTTCTGTGACACCCCCCCCCCCCCCCGCCCCTTGCTTTCCTTTCCTTCATAGAACTTATCTTCAGCTCACATCGATTGGTTTCTTGTTTGTCATCTGTCCCTTCCTCCCTAAATTATCAGCTCCAAGAAGGCAGAGCTTGTTGTGTTCACCAAAACACCCCCGTTTGGGAACGGTGCCAGCATTAGAACCTCAGTAACTACCTGCTGAGCGAACGGCTGAGGGAATGAATGGAACAGGCACTGTGCTCGGCTCTGGAAAAACCGAAGATGACTAATATTCCGTGTCCTCCAGGGACACACGGGCTCGTTGGACAAGTAAGCGATGCAGCTGGTAGCCAGTCAGTTAAAATACCAGGGAAGAACGTTACGTGCATGGGGGTGGGACCGGCTCACAGAAACATAAACACTGAGATAGCCATCGATGCCTGAACGCCGGGCCGTGCCAGCACAGACCTGGCGCTTCACGGGGGTCATCTCATGACTCCTCGCTCTGGAGAGGGCGGAGAGAGGTCCTGGGGGGGAGGGAGGGCAGGGCTGTAAGTCTAGCAGACCGCCAGGCAGAGGGATCAGAAGAGCTACGGGGGCCTGACACCACACGGGCGGCTGGAGGACTGACGAAGCTTAGGCTTTGGATGGGGAGCACAGGGAGCTGCCGCGGGAGGGATGGCATTGGGTGTGGCTGTGGAGTAACTGTTGGTGAGGCCTGGAGCTGCCCCTCTGCATGGATGCTCCCTCCCTCCTCCCTGCCCGGCCCCACGGAGAGTCAGTGCCTGATGACAACACCCAGCTTACAGCAGGCGGCCAGGGCCTCCAGGTAGACCAGAAGTCCATACCACCCTTCACACACGATTCTTGGAAGCCTGCTCCCTCATTTCGCTCCTTACCTGCAGTGTTGAGATGTTGCCTGTGCCATCTCTAACTCCCCCGCCCCCACCCTCCTGCAAGCTGTTACCAACTACCACACACCACTTCACACCTCACCCTCTTCTTGCCTGAAACTAAATTAAAAAAAAAAAACACACACACAAAAAATGTATGAGTTCTCTCTCAAGAAATATCCAATTATTAAAGACCTAGTGCAAGGATAAATACATATCTCAGTGCAGAGGAATCAACCACAAAGCATTTTTCAAACACTGGCCGCCTGTGGAGGAAACACCCAGACTCCCGTGCAGAACTCCCATTGTGGCCCGTCCCTGCGCCACAGATGCCAGGGGCGGGATTTAGGGAAGAAGCTCTGGGCTCCCGAAGGCTTCCCTCACCAGGGCCGAGTCCCCTCCACCCACCAGGTTTCTGTGTTCTCTGTCAGAGCCTTCCCGGGGAAAGAGCGCCTTGAGGCTGTCAGTTCCCTGTCCCCGGGGAGAAGACGCCTCTCCTGGAAGGGAAGGAAGCTTTGGGGTGCAGGTGGAGAGAGGGGGTGCTGGGAAAGGAAGAGAGAAGCGGAAGGAAGGAGCTGCTGTTCCAAGGCCAGCCTCCTGCGGGCCCAGGACTCTGCCGTGAGGATCTGCTTCCAGCCCACCCCCTCAGCCTCCAGGGGCCATTCTGGGGTCCCAGCCTGGGTCCCGGGGCCTGGCCTCAGCACTTCAGCGCGGAGGAGGGGAGGGCGATCCCAGAGGGCCTCCAGGTCATTCCTTGCCCCTTCCGCTCAGGAAAAAGGCCTCAGGGGCTCCAGAACCAGGACCAGGACCCAGGCTCCAGAGACCGCTGCTCCTGAGCACCTCCAAGGCGGGGCTTTCCAAAGCCATCCAGGGAGACAGGAGAGGGGCTGGCGTGCGGGGGTCTGTCCGGGGACGCCCAGAAACCACCTCCACTTCCCTGAACCCCTCAGCCCCAGGGAGGAGCTGCCCCTTTCTCTGCGGCCCAGAGCCCGGGTGAGTCAGAGCCGGACCTGGACCGCCCCCCGCCCCCGCCCTGCCCCCGGATGTGCCGCGGAAAGTGGGGCAGGGAATCCCCCAGGAGCCAGGGCTGGTCCTGAGAGCGATCACGGGTCTCCGCCGCCCGCGGAGGGAGAGAACGCGGTGACAGCCCGGGAGCTGAGTGGGTGGTGCGAACGGGGCGCGGAAGATCCCGGAGGGAGGGGAGGGCCCGGGGCCCCGACTCAGCGGCCGCCCCCCCCGCCCCGCCCCCGCCGCCCGGGGGGAGGGGGAGGAGGGAAGGGGGGGGCCTTTGAAGCCGGGAGGGGCTTTGATCCGGGTCCGCCCCGCCGGCCAGATGCGCTGGGGGAGGGGCGGGGAGCGACCCGCCCTCGGGCCCTCCTCTCCCCTCCTCTCCCCGCCCTTCCTCCCTCCCCGCCCCGCCCCTCCCTCCCCGCCCCCCGCACCGCGTCCGGGGCACCGAGACCGTTTCCGGCCGCTGCCGGGGGCACCGGGTGCCGCCCCCCCCCTTGCAGCTGTTGCCCAGCTGCCAGCCGCGCCCCGAAGACAGCTGGGCGCGGGCGGGGCGGGGCGGGGCGGGGCGGGGAGGCAGCGACATGAAAGCGCCGGCCGCGGGGGAGGCTCAGGAGCCCCCGGTGGTCCCCCCCCCCCCCCGCCCGCGTACATCTGGGCCCCAGGACTGGGCCCCTCCCTGCCCGCACCCCCACCCCCATCCCACCCCACCCCCTGGCGGCGGGGTGGGGGAGCCGCGCTCCCGACGCCCAGCCTTCCCGGAAGGCTCCTCCGGGGGGCGGAGGGCACGGGTGTGAAAGCGCGTCTCCGGGCCCTCGGCAGAGGGAGGGCAGGCTGTGCTGTGGGTGCCCCAGGGCCTGAGCGCCCTCACCGGTGCGGGCCGCGGACCCCCCCCCCCCCCACACACACACCTTCTCCGCAGGCCGCGTCCTGGGCCTCCGCTGCCCCTGCCGCTTCGGAAGCGGTGACAGCTGCTCCCACAAAGCCGGGACAGCTGGGAGGCCGGGACAGCTGGATGGGGCGAGCTCTGACTCCCTGCTCCCCGGGCTGCCCCGGCACCCGCAGGCCGTGCCCCAGGCGGCTGGCTGCTCTGCCTCCAGCCTCCGCGTGTGCTTGTCTGCGCGAGGCTTGCAGAGCTGGGACAGGTGTGGGGGCTCAAGCCCATCCCGGCGCCACCTGAGTCTCCTCTAGCCCAAGCTGGCGGATGCACCTGGGGAAAGGGTCCCTCCTATCTGCCGGGGCAAAACTGGGCCAAGTGGGAGAGAAACTGGGCAGCTTTCTGCTCCTGGCTTCTGACTCCTGGCACAGAAGATGCCCCAGCGTCCCTGACAACCAGAGAAAGGGCAGTGCGACAGGCACAGATGTGAGTGGAGCTAAACCGCTCTGTGTCCACCACCACCTGCCCCGGGCTTCCTTCCACCCTGGGCGGGAGGGCGCTGCGCTCCGGCCATCTGCCCCCTCTCTTTAGCCCCAAGCAGGTGCAGGGGGCGAGGAGGGGCAGGCCAGCTGTTGTCATCCTGCTCCTGGCTCCCGGCCCACGTAGAAGGGGGAGCACTGAAACAGGGGCCCACCCGCCCCACAGTCATTTTCTACTCCCATGGGACAGGGCAGAGGGGCTGAGCAGGACCAGGCTGGTTTGGCCCGGCCAGCCCATGTCCTCCAATCTGGCTCTCCTTTTTTTCTGAGAAGAGGGGAGACTAGGGGTCTGTGAGGCGTGGACCCCTGGTTCTACCCCAGAAGCTTCTGTATGGAAGGGTACAGGCTTCTTCACAACGTAAGCAGACCCATGCAGGATTAGGCAACAAATCAAGAGATACTTTTTAGAGGTCAGCTCCCCTGAAAGAAGGGCCTTTGGTGTACCCCACCCCCTCCTTCCACCCCAGGGGCCCCTGTGGCATGCAGGAGCCTGGACAGTCCCTCATGGCTGCACCCCTGAAACCCCAGGATCTGTCAGAATTCCCGGGGAGTTAGGAGTGCAGATTCCAGTAATTCAGACTGAGTCTACGTGGGGATCTAAGATTCAGCCCTTCAGCAAGCTCCCGACACATGCTGGAGACCTGGAGCAGCTCTGCCTCAGGGGACAGAGGGAAGATGTGCTTCTCCTGCTGCTACCCACTTCCATGCCTCCCAGAGCCAGACTATCCATCCTGCCCGTTCTTCCATGCTCAGGGGCCAGCCTGGAGCCGAGTGACCCCACCCTCCCAATGGGGGGGGGGGGGTCTCGCTCTGCTCATGCAGCACTTAGCATGTGCTCAATAAACACTGGACTGAAGGAGGTAAACTTTGCAAGACTCATAGAAAGGTTTCTTCCCTTGTCTGTCCTTGCTTAGAGCATGTTAGCAGAAACTAAGATGCCAGGGCCTACACAGCCGAGGACTGGGCATGGGAGACCCTTAGCCAACATTCCCCAAATGAACCCAAGGCCGAGATGCAATCAGAGCCTTACAGGTTGCCATTCACAGGCCTGGAACAAGCTGGAGCCAGAATCAAAGGAAGGCGGGCTGGGCTTCCATTCCTAGTGGGCCCCTCCCCACCCGGTGCCTGGAGACCCCCGGCCTAAGGAGTTGGGGGAAGAGGCAAGGCAGGGATGGGACTGCGCCATTGTTTATTAGAACTCGGATTTCGGTGTGTGCTCTAGACAGATTACAGAATACCTGCGCCTTGAGAACAGGAAGTCCACGATTCATACAAAGTGCTCACTACAGGAAGTTGCTGTGTCAAAATCCAGGCCAGGACCCAACTCAGGGCAGCCCCTCTTCCCCTGCTGACCTCAACAAGGGCTGTGCTATGGTTTTTTTACTTAATTATTTCTTTTATTTCTCTTTATTATTATTAATATTATTATTTGCTTTTGCTGTGGTCACTATTATTGGCAAAGTTCCTTCTTTTTCTTTCCTGGACATGGGGTTCCTGTCTGTAAGATTCCACTCTGAGGCTGAAGGTGCCAAAAGCTGCTTGAGAAGTGGCCTTTGAACTCCATCTAGGAGGATGGTGAGAAGAAAGAAGCAGGAGAAATCATTCTTGGTTTAAAAAAAAAATTAAAAAACAAAAGCCCCACAATCTACAGGTCATTTCTTACTCAGTCAGTGATCAAACTGCCCAAAAGAAAAACAAGGGAAGCAGACCAGTGGGCACTGGTCCTTCCTCCAGGGCTGGGTGAGGAGGACTGCCCCACCCCCCAAGGCTTCAGGGAAAGCTGAGGCCCCTTCAGCTGCAGGGGTGAGAGGGAGAAGGCGTGGGAGAGCACAGGAGACAGAGAGAGCTCAGCGCCTTGAGGTAGACGCTTTCCCAACTCCAGGGCCACCTGCGGCCCCAGCCCAGCTCCCACTGTCACTCCACGTCCAGAGATTCATAAAAAAAAAAAAAAAAAAAAAAATCAAAAACAAAGCCCAAAACAAAACGAAATCCAAAAGGACAAGACTTAGGGGAAAGAGGGAGGGAGGACAGGAAGGAAGGACAGGTCTCTGGATGCATAATTCCCGAGCCTCTGGGGGCTGGGGGGGAAGACTCCCCAGCGCCGCCGCCCGCTGGCGTTAGCTGGTCACGTAGTGTTTGGTGGAGGGCTGCCCGTACACCCTGTAGAAATCCTGGTGGCCAGGCTGCTGGGAGGCGTCGAGCCAGTCTCTGACGGCCAGGCCGGGGAGGGACTGGGGGACGGAGGGAGCAGGTGGGAGCGGGTGTGAGTATTCCTGCGAGGGCACTGTCCAGGGAAAGTGGCCGGAGCGGGGGTAGGGCTGGTGGCCGCCGTGGTTGGCCACGGAAGAACAGTAACAGTTGTCCACGGAACAGACGAGGATCTTGCGGCCGCCGTACTGGGGGAGCATGGGCTGCTGGGCGGCGGAGCCGTTGGGGTACTGCGACGGGGGGAACACGGGGCTCGAGTGCACCGGCTGGGCGCCTCCGGGCAGGGCCACCAGGTGCTGCGTGGAGCTGCAGGGCCCCAGGGGCTGCCCCGACTGGCCCTCGCCGCTGGCGGTGCCCGCTGCCCCGTACTGGCTGCCCACGGGGCCCGACGACGACGACGTCTCTAGGAAGCTGGCCTCGGGGAAGGCCATCGAGTGCTTGCGCTTCTCCGCCCCGGAGCTGCTCACGCCGCAGGGGTACAGGGGGACGCTCTGCAGGAAGGGCACCGGCGTGCTGAAGGGGCCTGCGGAGAGTTTGGGACAAAACACGATGACGTGCACGTCCTCCTCACCCCCGGGGACCTTTCTCATCCATAGGACCAAGCCCTCCATGTCAGCCTCCCCTGGGTCGGTGCTCACTGCTCCGTTAGCAGGTAGATGCTATTACTCCCATTTTACAGTTGGAGAAACTGAGGCTCAGGGAGGTACTATGGCTGGCCAAAGTCCCAGAGCCAGGAGTGGCAAAGCCAGGACATGCAGGAAGGGCCACCTAACGAGGCCACGCTGCCTCGGAGGGAAGGCTCTGGCATACGCCCCTCTCACCTTCTAGCATCTTCCGCAGCTGCTTCTCCTTCTTGGCCACCTCGTTGAGGAAGAGCTTGGAGTTCAGGTGGCCGATCTTAGGGGGAGAGAGGCTGTTGCCCGTGCAGGTCTGGGTCCTGGGGGCAGTGGACGGGGCATCTGCTGTGAGGAGGTGTCACCGGTGAGCCCGCCCTACCTCCCCCCACCCCGTGGGCCTGACCCTCCCACGACGTGTTCCCCTGAGAGCTAGCAACCACCTGCTCACCTGTCCATCAGGATTTTCACAGACTTGGTGTTCTAGGGAGAGAGAAAAGGCTGTCAGTGGAAAGGCAGCGTGGCCGAGGGGAAGACAGCACTGCCCTATCTGCCCTTTCCTCCCTCTCCCCGGGCAGGACAGCCCTTGGCTAGTGTGGCCGGGAGGTGGTGGGAGAGTGGGGGTGTCTGCTTTTCTAGAAGAAGAGCCAACATTTATTGAGCACTTACTATGTGACAGGCGATATTGCAAGTGTTTCTTATATATCCATCATTTTATCCACACAACTACCTTAGAAGGAAGGTCTGCAGGAGAAATCAATCCTCTTTATTTGAAATCTTTGGGGCCAGATGTGGAATTATTTGGATTTCAGAAGGGAAATATAGTGCCTGTACCATATAGTATATATCACCCCCCAGTAGGCACAATTCAATACACCAATGTTTCTGTAGCAAAATGTTTAAATATGTGTACCAGGTGAGATAAATAAAGACCATACATTGCCAACATCACTTCAGGTCAATTTTTGCTGTTATATGAGTTGCCAGAATTTTTTTCTTTGAGTATGCAGAGATTACTAAAATTTGGAATTGAGGATAAAGGAGAGTAGATCTGTATTATCAACCTCATTCGATAGGTGAGGGAACGGAGGCATAAGGAACAGATAGGACTTGGCCAAGGTCACAAAGCCGGAAGGAACAGGGTGGCTCCACAGCCCTGTGAGCACACTGGGGGGGGGGAACTGGTTGGGAATAAAGAATCGCAGACTTGCTTTTTCGATTCCTGGTCAGGGCACATGCCCAGGTTGCGGGCTTGATCCCCAGTGGGGAGTATGCAGGGGGCAAATAATCAGTGTTTCTATCTCTTTATCCCTCTCCCTTCCTCTCTCTCTAAAATCAATTAAAAACAAAAAAACAAAAACATGTCTTTTTTAAAAACAAAAAAAATGAGTATGTTTTGCAGGCTCCGATTTAGGAATGCCCTGGGTCCCACCATCTGGCCAGGGCCCAGCCCACCTTCATGAAACTGACGTCCTCCGTCTTGTCGAAGAGCAGCTGCAGGGAGCCCAGCAGCTTCTTGGCCTCCTGCATGCGCTCCCCCAGGTGCAGCGCCTGCGCCGCGTTCTCGCTGCAGAACTTGGCCTGGGCCTTGTCCAGAACCTCCACCGTCTGCCCCAGGTCCTCGTCCAGCAGCTGATGCAGCTTCTCATACTGCAGCCGCACTTCCTCCTTCAGTTGGCTCACCTTCTCCTGCGGGCGCAGGGGACAGGTGAGCCCTGGGGACCACTGGCTGCCGCGTCTGCCTGTCTTACATCCTGGATGGGAGAGTCTGGGACCCCAAACCCCGAGACTGCCCAGGGTTCCTCAGGGCAAAGTTTGACCTGCTGGTAGCTCAGGGCTCTGTGCCAGCTACCCCTGTAGGGCTCAGCAACTAACAGTTCACGGAATGGCTGTCCAAAGGGTTCTGGCACAGAGCTGACCACACAGCAGATCCTAGACCAAACAAGGACTAGCCCAGGGCCCTGCACACAAGCAGCCCCCACCCCACACCATGAACGTGGGCTTAGCTACCTCCACCAGGCGCTTGTCTGACTCGAGTTTGTACAGCTGGTCCTCAATGTCCTGCTCACGCTCCTCCAGGCGGTCCTGCTGCTTCATCAGCATCTTCTGCAGGGACAGAGGAGGCAGGGGCGTCAGCCCCACCCCTTACCAAGGATGGTGAGCTCCCAGGAGATCAAAGCCTGGAATGGCTTCTCACACACATCTAACCGTGAGCTTTCTGAGGGCAGGGGCAGGCCGGTCTCAGTTCTAAGCACCCCTCCCCCACCCCCAATGAATCTTATCATTCCTGTAATGCTATGAGATGAGTACTATTATTATCCTTATTTCAGGGAAGAGGAAACCAGAGGTTAAGTAATTTATCCAAACTATACAGTTAGTAAATGGCAGAGCTGAGACACAAACTTAGGTGACCTGGCAGTAAGGTCTGTTCTTATGATTTAATTATTTTTTTAAAAGAATAGTTTATTGGTTTTGAGAGAGGAAGGGAGAGAGAAACACTGATGTGAAAGAGTAACACTGATGGGCTGCCTCCTGTATGCTCCCCACCGGGGATCCAGCCCACCACCCAAGCATGTGCCGTGCCCAGGAACAGAACCAGGAATCCAGTGCCCGGCTGACCAACTGAGCCACACCAGCCAGGGCTATTTTTTAAATCCTCACTCGAGCCGGAACCGGTTTGGCTCAATGGATAGAGCGTCGGCTTGGGGACTGAAGGGTCCCGGGTTCGATTCCGGTCAAGGGCATGTACCTTGGTTGCAGGCATATCCCCAGTAGGGGGTGTGCAAGAGGCAGCCGATCGATGACTCTCTCTCATCGATGTTTCTGGCTCTCTATCTCTCTCCCTTCCTCTCTGTACAAAATCAATAAAATATATTTAAAAAAAAAAAATAAATAAATAAATAAATCCTCACTCGAGTACATGCTTAGAGAGAAGAAAGGAGAAGAAGGGAAGAAGGGAGAGAGGGCACGAAGGAGGGAAGGAGAGAAAGGGGGACTGGGGATCAAACCTATATCCCAGGTATGTGCCCTGACCAGGAATCGAAACAGCAAATCTTTTGGTGCACTGGATCACACTCAACCAGCTGAGCTACTCCGACAGGCAGTAAGGTCTGTTCTTATCCAAGGCGTGCTGCCTCTCTCTGGGAGCCCTAGTTTAGAGATCAGTGCCCTAAGCAGAGGGTCAAACCTTACACTTGGGAGCATCAAGCCAGCGACCCCCACCCTTGTTCTTGACCCTGAGAGCCAGGCCTCTGAAGTCCTCACTAACTGCTTCAGACCCTCAGTTGGACCCAGGTGGAAAGGAGACACTGACTCTCCTAAGGCCTGAGGCCAGTCTGCTGCAAGGTGCTGGACCAAGCTACTATTTCAGCCCTTCACATCCTCTCTCTACAACCCCTCTCCTCCCGCTTGCCCATCCCAGCTGCTCCATCCATCCTGTCATCCCCCTCACCAGACATACCTCTTCAAATAGGGCCTTGCTCTTGCTCCAGAACCCTCGATGACTCCCTCCTTCCAAACATTTTGGCATGGCAATGAAGGCTCTCTTAAGACCTGAGAGTATCCTGTCCCCAGCACTCTGTGCACATCTGAACTCCCTGCCCCCCGCTGATGGTTTTCTCAGTCCACAGGCCTCTTCCCTCCCCTTGTCTGTCCTTCCAGACCCCACTCCTCTAGGAGACTTCTCATGGCCCTGCTCAGAGTGTATGCAGGCCCCTCCCAGTCCTGGCCATGCAAAGGGGCTGTCACATTCTGCCTGCCTCTATAGCTCTGCTGTCCAGTATGATGGCCACTAACCATACTGGACTATTTAAATTTAATTAAAAGTAAGTGAAATTAAACATCAGTTCTTCAGTTGCACCAGCTTCAGTGTAAGTGCTCAATAGCTGGCAAACGTACTGAATATTAGAGAGACAAAACAGACACCACCCTAGAAAGATCTATAGGATACATTATTCTGTAATTTGTTTCATAAACTGTGGTTTGATCTCCCTACAAAACTCAAGGCCCCTCGAAAATAGGGCTTTGCTGCTATCTTTTTTCACCTCCCTTCTGAGCCAGGTCCCAGCACCTATAGATGCTTAATGTTTCTGAACAAACCATGGGTTTTACACATAAAGTAAGGTCTGCAAAGCCAATTGCAGAGCCCTGCTCACAGTGTGGGCCTCCGAGTGACCCTCAAGCTTGATGCCATGACTCCCACTCCCATCCACACCCAGGTGGCCTCCCAACCTGCCTCCAATCCCTTTCTCACTCCCCACCCCGTTAGGCCAATCAGGAGTTCAGTGACCCCCTTTTGTGTTGGTTGCTAAACAAAATACCAGGAGGAGGTGGGGGCGAGGCTCTTAGCTAAGTGGGGACGCCTGGGGCAGTCTCCCTGAGAAACTTAACCTTCCAATGACCCAGGACAGGACCGCTGAGAACCAGCCTCAGGAGCCCTCGCCCTGCCCCCAGCATCTGCCCTTCCAGCCGGCTCCCCCACCAGCCCAACATGCACAGGGATCTGTGGCCAATCTGGGATCAGCACCTGTTCAGAAACACTGCTGGGTGCGAGGCAGGAAGAGACAGGTAGTAGTCATGGATCCTCCCCACCTGTGACACAGCCCCCAGTTGTGTGAAGGGGGCAGGCAGCGCCTCAGTGTATGGCCCAGATATAGGCATACAACTGCTCGCGCGCACGCACACATACTGCCTCTGGGCCCTGCGAATACCTCATGCAGAGTGCTGTACCAGGTGCACAGGTACTTGCGTCCAACCCCCTTCCGGGTGAAGGCTGGGCTTCCTGAAGGCCCCAGACAATGGAGGGAGGCCGGCCATAAAGGCAAGGTGGCCAGGGCACCTTCTTAGGAACACAATGCCTTTTTACCTCCCCTCAGATTTTTCCTGCACCCACACTCAGGAAGACAGCCCCCTCCCCCATGCATCCCTCACTCTTGCCTTCCCAATGCCCTGGACACCTGAAAGCCCAGGTCCCGTGCCCCACGGCCCCCATCACCAAGGACTCCCTGCTCAAACTCACCCTCATCTGACAGGAGAGCACCTGGGGCTGAGTCCCAATGAGGGTGGGAAAGGGCGGCCCAGGTGAGTTCCCAGCTGTTTCCCTCAGAGGACAGGAATGGAGCTGCTCTGCTCCACCCTCCAGACCAGTGGGAAGCCCCTCCCTTGCCCCCTGGAAACCCTTTCTGGGAGTTTGTGGGCGACCCCTCAGGCAGAGCCATGGGAGGCACCTCCTGTCCAGTCTGGGGGCTTGGCCCTTTCTCTCTTCTTATAGGCGTTTCTCAGAGCCTTTCCTGGCAGCACCTCTACCCTGGGACCTGTAGCATCTTCTCCCAGCTTCACCAGTCCCAGGTCCTGGTTCCCGCCTGCCCACAGCCCTGGTAAAGGCAGTGCCACCCTCCCTAGGAGGTGGCTGGGTTTTCCATTTCCCCTGCCCCAGCTCAGACGCTCTTGGGCTCCTGTCTTTGCCAGCTTACCTTTGCAGGGAATGCCCTCCTTGGGGCCAGGTGCTCTTAATCCTGCCACAGATAACACCTAGGGGAAGGCAGGGGTGGGGGACTGCTGCCGCCTCAGGCCCTGGGAAATTGGGGAGATGTGCTGCCCCCTTCATTACCTCTCAGCCCCCTTCATTACCTCTCATCTCCGTTACCCCAAACGCCTAAATCAGGTTGCTGAGAAGCTGGAGGATGGGGAACAGAGGAAGCAAGGCCTGGACCCCTCTCCGCTACCAGCAGCCTCTTTCCGTCTCAGCCTCCAGGGAATGGCTGAGACTGGAGGCCCCATTGCTCACCTGGGAAAGAGCCACAGCTGAGGTCATCCCACCCGGATTCAGAGCAAGGGCTCTCCTTGCCGGGTGGAGGGCACTTTATAAACGTCGCCCAGCCCACAGTGAGTCACCTGGACGGTGGCACACCTCAAGTGTGCAGGAGGGGAGTGGAGAGGAGCAAAGTGGGGAACCATGGTCTAGACTGGAAGCACTGAGGGACCAGGCCACCTCCAGCAGGAGGGACACTATGAGCCCCGCCCCGCCCCACAGGTCCCGGTCCAGATGTCCAGCTCACTCCGGTCTCTGTCCCTGAAGGCCTAAGGCCTTCCATGGTCAGCTCTGAATCTGCGAGGGCAAAAGCATCAAGAAGGCTTCCCAGCACTTCCCATGCCCCCCAGGCCCCAGCACCTCCTGCTTCTCACACCTGTCACCTAGGGGTCTAGACTCTGCGCCTTGAGCTGTTCCCTCTGATGCCCTCCCAGCCTGGAGAGGGGGCAACCACAAGCCCCTTTCCTGCCCTGGGGAAGCCTGGTGTCCCTGTGGAGCCGGACTGGCCGGGCCCAACTGGCATTTTTGGTGTCAGACTGGACTGGGCAGACGGGTGAGGCCATGGGGACTGGAGGCTGTATAAAAGTTAATAAATAATAATAAAACCCGCAAGTCAACCTTGAAGAGAGGCAAGGTCAGGAGGGAACAGGGCCCCAGGGGCTGGGCCAGAAGCAGGCCTGAGGTTTTCAGACAAAGCCAGGGCTGGGCCCAACAGCCCCTGTGGTGGGAGGGTGGGGGCAGAAAGAGGGAGCTAAGCCACTCAGACCCCTGCCCGGAGGACTCTCATGCTGGCTCCAGCTCTGGCTGCACCCCCCGCTCCAGAGCTCCCCTGTCCTGACTCCTCCCCACTCTCCCACCAAAGACCTCATCCCAGGAAGACGGTAGCCTCCTCGCTCCTGGGCCCCAGGCTCAGAGCAGCGTCGGCCTGCCATAGAAGCCCTTTCGTGCCTCAGATCCTGCCGTGGGCTGCCCTGTGAGTCTCCAGGCGGGGCACCCGCAGCCCCCGAGGGAGGAGGTGGCAGGGCAGAAGCCAGGGCAGGAAGAAAGGCAGCACCTGGGAGGCAGGCCCCGCAGACCCCAGAGAGGGTTTCCCAGCTGCAGAGGCAAATTAGCTTTTGCCATGCAGAGAGCAGTGCTCTGGGGCAGCAGAACAAAGAGGCGAGAGAGAAAGCCCCCCTTTGTGTGGGTTTGAATGCCAGGCCAGCCGGGAAGGGCGGCCTTTCCAGAGCCAGGGATGAGGCTGCCTGCTTAATCCAGGGTAGGGGCCCCAACCAGGCTCGCCTTCTTCCCATGCCCACCCGACTGCCCCCAATACAGCATCGCAGGATCCACCCGGATGCTATAGCCCTGATGCTGCCACGAGCAATAAGCTCACCCCTCGGTGAATCCCATCTCCCCCTTCCCTCCCCAATTCCCACCCCACCAGGTGAGAAAAGTCGCACAAGACTCACAACCACCAACCACAGCCCGAGCAGGCCGTCACGCTAGCAGCCATGCACACACACTCAACTTCACCTCGTAGGTGTGCGGCATGCTTGTTCACACACACACATAATCACACAATCTTACCCCACATCACACATACATAGACAACTACAGAAATAAGTCACTCACTCACATCAGACCTTCTCAGAGAGACACACGTGAGATACAAAAAACTGGTCACATGTGAGAGACACAGCCAGGCATGCTGGCCACACACACCTGCAGACTGACATGGATGCACAGCTAGAGTGCAGGAGGAGAGGAATCAATAGGATGTGCGTGACAGGCGCCCGGCTGTGTCAGCAGTATCCTGGAGAGGAGGTGGGGGTGGGCCGCTGTCTGGGGCCCAGGGAGCAAGGCCAAGCCAGGCCCCCTTCTGTGTAAACCTCAGGATGGTCACGGAAGGGGCGCTTATGGCCCTGGTGCCCTGAACACACACAGCCTCCCCACCCCAGCTTCCACTCTGCCCGGGAGTGTGTGTGTGGGGGGAGGAGGCAGCAGTGGGCTCCGCACTGTCCGAGTGGGCTAGACCAGGACACTCTCACTCCCACAGCCTGCCTGGCACGGACACATGGAGTGGACACCCAGGGTCCCATGCAACCCCTCCAGCCAGGGGCAATGTGAGAGCCACTCCAACCTGGCCCAAGCAGTGGGATCGCCTCAACTCTAAACCTCCAAGAACGCAAGGAACATTTCCAGCCTTGAGCTGGGATCCTAGGAATGACACAGGCATAACTATGACCTGAAAACACCCACACACCCACACACACACACACCTTGCATAGCCCCTCACACAAGATAACTAGGGCTTATCTTGAGTCATCTTTCCATGTTGAGGGAGGTCGGTCATGAATTAGAGGCACTCACAGCTCATACCAGTACCATGATGCTCAGAAGAAGCCCTAATTTTAGGGGACAGAAGAGGATTTGAACACACCAAGGCTACCAGACCGGAACCCACCTAAATGTCCTAATCTTGGGCCCTTAGGACGTATTTAGGATCTTGTATGTCCCAGAGAGTGGTCTCTGAGGCCCATGCAGTGGGCATCCAGGCCTCAGGGCAATGTGGCCTCACCCTGGCTTCCCGAGTGTAGAATGGGGCTGTGGACGTCCCAGGCCTAACTCCGAGACCCCCTGCGAGGGCCCACCCCTGAACGGAGGCCCTGCTTGCCTTCCCACTGGGCCCCTGCTCCATGCACACGTGCGTGCTTTTGAATAAGCACGTAGGGGCCGCCAGGGAGAAGTTGATCAGGATTTTCTGTTTCTAGGCGATAGGGCATTCCAGTAGCCACCCTCTCCCCTCTCCCGGGAGGACAGAAGAAGAAGCACAAGAAGCAGAGCTACATTTTAAGGCATGTGCTGGGTCCCCATGCTCCTGTTTCTATATCCGGGAGAATTCTGTTGCCCTCATCCATGGTACCAGAGGAGTACCTTTAGGACTGATTCCCAAGAGAAAAGGCTCCTCCCCCGTTTCCCAGAGAGGATGGAGAATGAAATGGGTTCTTCCATTCAGTTCTCCAACGCTCACTCCCTCCCCCTGGATGGTACTCCCCCCCCTTCCTCCACATTCACTAAATCCAACTCATACTGAGTGGTGTTGGGCTATTGAAGGCTTTCCAACTCCAGGGCCCTGGGCACCAGAGAGAATCCTGAGGGCCTGGAGGGGAGGACGGAGAGGGGGGATGAGACTCAGGATGGGGGGCACAGATGCTGAGCAAACAGAATTGCACATCTGGCCCTGATGAAACCCACCACTTCTGAGTCCCTGCTCACGCTAGGGACAGGAACTCACACACACACACACACACACACACACACACACACACACACAGAGGCACGCACGCACACATGCACCCAGCTGCTGACAAAGTTCGGGGCCTGCTCCCATCCAGTTCCTCTTATGAGCTGGGGATCAGGGACCTGCCGGTGGGAACCCCAGGATGCCCTCTGCATGCATGTGCCATCCCTCCCACACCCCAACTACACAACCAGGAGACAGGTGCCTTTGAGGGCAAAGACACTTGCCAACACACACATCTAGAGGTACCTTCTTACTGCCGAATTAGGTACAATCATGTTTTCTCCCCCACCCAAATGACAGACACCACTGGAACAGACACAGCTGAGAGCAAAACCTTGGGTGGGGGCACACATACATTCATCACCCTGGTTGCTGCCCCCCTCCTGTTTTTTAGCCACATTTCAGATTTCCCCCCTCCTCTCACTTTGCCCTGCCAAGCCCAGGACTGAGAACTGGACAGCCCCTTTCTCCTGCCTCTGCCCTTCCCCAGCTCCTCTCCCGGGCCTTCCCGTCTTTTTAGCAGCAGCAGCTCCCCAATACGGAGGAAAGCCTGGACTCCGCTGGCCCTGGGGCTCATGTGCCTCCCCTAGGCTCCTGCCTCTTCTAACCCCAGCGGGAGGGAGTGGAAATGGCTCCTCTCTCCACCCCCCACACTTCCTTTGAGAAACCAGAGGCCCTGTACTGGCACAAAAACCCAGAGCTCGCCCATCGGATTGGAAACTAATTATACAGCAAATTTTATTTGTTGTCCCTGCCCTCAGCTTGCGGCGGCCCTCTTGCCTTTTGTTAGTTGTCTGTGTATGTTTTTTAATGGCTAAACACTGACTCATTCTGACTGTCCCTCCAAAGGAAACAGCCCCGTCGACAGCCGTCCCCCAGATCCTGCTTCCTCATACCCAAACTCCCCACCGGCCTCAACTAGCCTCCAGGGGCCCCCACCCAGAAACACTCCCAGTCCTCCCAGAGCCCAACCTCACCCCCGGGCCCCAAGCTTGGGCTTCCGAAACGGCACATCCAGGCTCAGACCAAGCCCCTTCCTGGGGGATGACTCAACTCTGAAAGCCGGGGGACCAGGGAGGGACGGAGGAGGGGCCCCCTCCACCGGAGGGGACGGAAGTATTGCCTCAGTCCAGCTCCAAAGCCTGGCCCGCAGGCCGGAGGGGGAAGGCGGTTTTGACATTGGCGGCTGCTGCAGGGTGTATACAATGGGAGGGGATGTGGTTCCGTAATCACTCAGCCGGCAGCCCAGGGGAGCCAGCTGCCTGAAACCAGATTGTAAGGCGGCTCAACCTTAAACCCACAGGATTCTTTTTCCGTCTTCCACTTCCCCTCCCCAAATGTGGGAGGGCTGTGATACAGGGCTGGGCTGGGAGCAAAGGGCTCAGGGTGATGAAGGCACATACTTTAAGGTTTGTTCATGCAGGAGCGTTCGAGACACACACACACACACACACACACTCAGGCACACAGAGGGCTGCGGTTCCCACACATGGAGCGGGCCATCCAGGATAATCCAAACAGTTGGGACACTCCGGACACTGCTGGCTGTCTGGGCCTTGTCCTCACAGACAGGGGAGTTCTGCCCTCCCTCCGGAAGCTCCCCTCCACCCCCCAATGCGTTTCCAGTAGGGCTTGAAACTAACATGGCTGCTTTTGTTTACTTCCTCATTGGTATGCCAACATCATGGATCATGTCAGCCACAGCAGCGGCACCAGGACACTCATTACATAAACAGCAGCTGGAGATGCAGAACCTGGGTCACTGCCTTGGTGACTTCCTGCAGGGCCTACAGAAACAAGGCTGGGGGAGGGGGCTGTGCGGGGAACGGAAAAGCAACACCCGAACTCGGCTCTAACAGCCCCACACTTGAGTTCCACAAATGACTCACGAGAGCACAGGTGCAGAAAGGCCCTGGGTAGCCATGGAGGATCCTTCTTCCCAGAAGCCTGCCCCCAAACTTTCTGAGCGTTAGAGGCTCCGAGAAGGGAGCCTCCGGCCGGAGGTCACAAGAGTCAGCCTGCCTCCTAGGTGGGTGGTCCCAGGCGGTAGGGAGTGTGTGTGTGTGTGTGTGTGTGTGCAGGATACTTGCCCGGATCTCATTCCTCCGGATCTCCACGTCGCACACCGAGTGTCCCTGATGCGCCCCGCTGTAGTAGCAGCAGTACTGGCACACGGCCACCTGCTCGGCCTCGCAGTGGTAGAGGCGGTAGGCGTTGTGCTGCGGGCAGCTCCAGGCCCGCACGTCGTCCGCCTCCACCAGGAGGTGCCCGCGGGCGGTGGAGGGCTGCTGCAGGTGCGTCTGCACGTGGGACTGGCAGCAGGGCGCCTCGCAGCGCAGGCAGACCTTCTGCGCGGGCAGCGGGGGGCCGCGGCGGCAGAACACGCAGTGCAGCGCCGCGGGCGGCTTCTCCACGTGCAGGGCGTTGAACTTCTCCACGATGTTGGTGAGCTTCAGGTTCTTCTCCAGGCCCGGCTTCTGGTTGTAGGCCTGGTTGCACTCGGGGCAGCGCACCAGGCCGCTGTCCTTGGCCCACGCCTCGCCGATGCAGCCCCGGCAGAAGTTGTGCTTGCAGGGCAGCTGCACCGGCTCCACGAAGACGTGCAGGCAGATGGGACAGATGAGCTCCTCCTCGAAGCAATTCTTCCAATTCTCCGCCATGGCGGCTGCGGGCGGGCGGGCGGCCCGGGCAAGACCTTCCCAGCTCCCCAACCCTGGGGGTCCGGCCGGTGCCGCTGTAGGCCCGCCGAGCCCGGAGCTGCGGCCCCGGGAGGCCCGGACAGTCGCTCAGTCGCCGGCGCCTTCCGCGCGCCGGGCCCCGGGGGGAGCTAGGTCCTCACGGCTCCCGGGCGCCTAGCGGGAGGCGGCGGGCGGCGCCAGGGCCGCGGCCGGGGCACCGGCCCTGAGGGGGGGCGCCGGAGTCCAAATTCCATACAAGAGGCCGCCTCCCGGGCTGCGCGGCTAGGGCAGCCCCGGCCCGCGGCCTGCGCCGGGCCCCGCGGCTGGCATCGGGGCGCGCCCCGCGGCGGACGGAGCCCGGGAACCGCACACTTCCTCCGGCGGCGGCGATGGTGGCTCCCTCCCGGCTCCCCTGCGCCCGGTCCAGGGTCCGAGGGCCGGGGAAGCAAGTGCTGCGGCGGCGCGGACGGCTAGATCCGGGCCCGCGGGCTCCGGGCGCCCCGCGGCTGGCCGTCCGTCCGCGGGCGCGGGCTGCGGGGCGCGGGCGGGCCGGCTCCGGGGCGCTGCGTGCGCGGCGGGGCAGTCATTCAGATGAAATTCCAGTCCCCGGCCAGAGACACCAGCCCGCCTCTGCCTTCCTCCTCCCTCCCTTCACAAATAGAAACGGAAGGGGGAGGGAGAGAAGTGGAAAAAAAAAAAAAAAAAAAAAAAAGAACGCCAACCAGAGAGGGAGGGAGGGCGGGGAGCCCGGCGGCGCTCCGGCCTGACCTCCCCGTCGCCGCGGGTGCGCTCCCCGGGCCCGGCGCCGGCGCCCCCGCCGCGGGGAGACCCGCTCTCCGGCCGCGCGGGGCGGGCGGGCGGCGCTGCCGGGGGACCAGGAGGGATCCAACTAGAAAGGAATTCCTCCCAACTGCTAATGAGCCGAGGCCGGCTCCCGCTCCCCTCCCCCGGCCGCCCTCCCCCTCCGCCGCCCCGGCCTCACCCCGCCCCCCTTCCCCCCAACACTTTCTTTTCTTCTCGGCCTCCGCTCCGGCCTGGCCGGCTCCGGCGGCGGCGCGGCCGGGCCTCCCTCAGCGCCCAGCCATCTTGGGCTCCTGCGGCCGCGGCGGGCTGAGCGGGGCCGGGGGCCGGGCGCGCACTCGAGGGTCCTGCAGTCCTCTCTCCTCTCTCTCTCCCTCCTCTCTCTCTCTCCTCTCTCTTAAAGGGGAGAGCTGGCGGCCTCTCTCAAATTAGGAGAGAGGGGAGAAAATGCCAAGTCCCGATTCCTCTCCACCTCTGCTCCACCCACCCCGGTCCTTTCCAGAAAATAAAAAAAGATGAGAATTGGAAGAAGTCGGCAGAAAGGCGAGCGCCCCCCCCCCCCCCCCCCCCCCCGGCTGCTGCCCTGGCGACGCGTCCGGGGCGGGCCCGCGCCAGGCGCTCGGTCGGCGGGTCCGTCTGTCCGCCCGCAGCTACTCCGCGGAGGGGAGGGCGCTCCGGCAGGGTCTCGGCTACCGCTGTCGCTGCCTCAGAGCTTTATCCTCAGATCAGAAAAAAAAAAAAAAAAGGGGGGGGGGGAGGATGTAAAACCCCAGCGCTCATCACAGCCACCTTCAGCCATCTTGCGCGTATTATTTTGGGAATAATCTGTTTAATAAAAATAGAGCTGTCTCTTGCCCCCTCCCCCGCACGCCGGGCTCCCCGCCCCCCCTCTTTTTTAATAATAATCTCAATAATAAAAAATGATCTGCGGGCCGGGCGGTCCGCGGCAGCCTTTTCCTGCCTCGGCTCGCTCGGGCTGCGGCTCTCCTTCCCCTGGGAAGGGGGCGCGGCGGCGGGGGCCTCGCCGCTGGGGCTCGGGAAGGGGTGCGCCCTGCCGCCCGCCAGCTGGCCTCGGCCTCCGCCGGGAGGGAAGGGCGCCCGGGCTGCGGCCGCGCAGCGGCGAGGAGGGCGGGCGGAGGAGGGGCCCTCGCTCGCGGGACCGGCTGGAGGGGCGCCCTGGGGTCCCGGATCTTCCCACGGCGGCCCGGCCGGGGAGTGTGCGGGCCGGGGGGTGCGGGTACAATGGGCTCCCCCAGCCGCCGGGCGGGGACGCGAGCGGGCAGGGGGCTGCGGGGAGCCGGACTCCGGGGCCGGGGCCGGGGCGCAGAGAGGCGGAGGGCGGTGTTTCTACCTCACCGCCGGCCCCGCTCCTCGGGAAGGGGCGGAGAGACGGGGAGGGGAGGCGAGGAGAAAGCGGGCGCGGAACCGCGGCGCCTTTAATCAGCGCCCGCCGGTCCGGCCCGCCCGGCGCAGGGGAACTAAATGGACGGGCGAGCGTGGGGCGGGGCCGGGGCGTTCTGTCCGGAAGTGCTGCTGCGGCGGCGGAGGCGCCCGGCCCCGCCCCTTTTCCCCGTCTGGAGTCGGAGGACGCTCCAGCTATAGGGCCCTCGGCGGAGGCCCCGCCCCTTTAAGGCCGGGCCAGCCGGAGCTCCTCACGTGACTCGCACTAACTTAGGTTCATTAAACATCGGGTGGGAGGAGCGTTCCGCGCTTCTTAAAAGGGCGATGGTGACCGCCTCTCCGGGGGCTTCTTCACCCGTCGCTCTTCTTACCTGAGAGGGAAAGGAGGGCTGCTCATTGTCCCACAGTGAACCTTTGCATTCCATCATGAGCAGGTGACTGCAAAGGTTCACTGTGGGACAATTTTCCTACGTCCTCATCACTTTAAACCCCCCACTTCTGACACTTAAAACTACTAAACAAGATTGAATATTAATATCAACAGTTAATATTAATAAAGAAACGGAGGCTTACCCTAACCGGTTTGACTCAGTGGGTAGAGCGTCGGTCTGCGGACTGAAAGGTCCCAGGTTCGATTCCTGTCAAGTGCATGTACCTTGTGGGCACATCCCTAGTAGGAGGTCTGCAGGAGGCAGCTGATTGATATTTCCCTCTCATCGATGTTTCTAACTCTCTATCCCTCTCCCTTCCTCTCTGTAAAAAATCAATAAAAAAAAATATTTTAAAAAGAAACAGAGGCTTAAAAAACGGAAGTAATCTGCCATAGGTCCATCAGTCAACAAATACTTAACAAAAGCCTTTATGTGCCAGGCATTTTTTCTAGGATCCAGGGATTCCTCAGAGAACATGTACAAAAAAAATTTTTTTAAATTAAATATGTAGGATAATTTCTGTGAAAGGGGCTCACACACTGTTCTCTAAAAAAGTGGCATTTGAACCAAAATCTGCATGTCTAGGAGTCAAACAAGTGACATTCTGAGTGCTTTAGTCAGAGGAAAATCAAATGCAAAAGCAATAGATTAGACATGTACTAGGGCAGAATGGAAGCTGTGTGGTGAGGGAGAAGACAGGTAGGGGCCAGAACACACAGGGCCTTCCTTGTAGATCATGGTAAGGAGTTTGAACTTGAAGCTGGTTGTGAGAAGCTGTCAGATTTGGGATATATTTTGGAAGTAGTGCTAATACGATAGGACTAGATAAGGCTTAGATATGGGATGGAGGGGAATCAATACATAATACTAATAGAGTAGGAATGGGATCAAGATGTGCTTATCACTATACATAGTATATATCCTTCTGAACTTTAAAAACATTATGTAGTTTATGTGATATATATGTTTATATATGTGTGTGTATACTACCCCCAAAATGTTTAAAATTATTCCTAGGATTTGGGCCTCCATAGGAGGCTGAATGGTGGTGCCATTTACTGAGAATGAATGGAAGAGAAGTAGGCAGGTTTGGGTGGGGAGATTTTTAGTAGCTGTCTAAGTTGACTCAGGTATCCCAGTGGAAATGTTGAGGAAGCAATGGTACACACAGACTCAAGGGGGAGGTTTGTGCTAGAGACTACTATGGATTTCAGAGTCATCAGCTATTACATTTTAAATGGTAGAACAAATTCAAATCCAGTTCAGTATGACCCGCGGGTGCTGATCCTTCCATAAAACCAGAGGGCCTTCCTGCTGCACAATCTTTCTCCTTATTCCTGATGTGAGGGCTAATGTGGTCCCTTCGAGGAGAGTCTGTGTCTTTAGCACTTGGCATCCCCTCACAAGCTGAACAGATGAAAAATGACTGAATGCATGCATGCCTCAATGAACAAAAAAGGAGAAAATGGGTTTCAAGTCCTCGTCCTTAATTACATATTCTAAAGGTGGTGCAAAGAAATAACAAGGCCTCGCCTTGCTGGAGCATTGTCCTTACACACCAGGGCTGTAGCCTGGATCCCCAGCTTATGCAGGAATCAACCAGTGGGTGAATGTATAGGTGGAACACCAAGTCGATGTTTCTCAAATCAATAAAGATAATTTTAAAAAGCAGTAACACAAGGTCTAGGTTGGAGCCAGAGGGTCCTTTTGGGGCCTCCTCAACGATGACCTCCATTGTTATTTATTTAGATAATAAAGCTAAAGGATCCCTCTCATTTCTCACCTTTCTAGACTGCTCCCTTGACTTGTAAGACATCATACTCTTCTGGCTTTTTTTTTTTTTTTTTTTTTTTTAACCACAGACTTCTCTAATTTCCATCTCATAAATGCTGTTGGTCTTCAGAATCCTGCCCTCCATTTTCTTCTCTTGCTAATCTATACCTGCTTCCTGGGCATCTCATTTATTCCTATGGCTTTATTACTGTTTATACACTGATGGCTCCCCAGGCAGTATCTCCGGCCCAGATCATCAGCCTCCTAGTTGCAGATCCATGTAGTCAACTATGCTCTCCACTCAGATGTCCCACAGGCACCTTGAATTCAATGTATTGAAAAGGAAATGTCATCCTTTTCACATTCCCGTTCCCCTTCCACTGTGATCCCCATTTCAGTCAGTGGACATGTCAGCCACTTAGTTACCAAACTAAGGATTAGGGAAGCAACCTTGACATCTCCCTCTCGTCTCTCTTATCCGTTCAATCAGTCTTCAGTTCCTATAGATCCTACTCTTAAATCTCCAATAATTTACTTGTACACTGGTTACTCACTTAGCGTCTTCGCTTGGAGGTGCAACAAACATCCCAAACTCAACATATCCAAAAACCATCCTAATTTCTGCTCCCCCTAAACCTCTGCCAACTTCAATCTTCTGCTTCTCGGCAAATATCTGATAGCCAACCTTTCAGCAAATCTTGACTACTTCTTAATATCTCTATTACTTTATTATAATCTGTGGCCTGGATTATTTCAGTAGGTCCTAACTAGTTTCTCTGTTTTTGCCCTTACTTCCTGGAGTCAATCTCAACAGAGAAGCCAGAGTCATTTTAAAAAAATACAAGTCAGATTATGTCAATTTTATGCTCAAAATGTTCCAGTGGCTTCGCACTTCAACCAGAATAAAAACCAAACTTTTATAATTAGCTGCAAGGTCCTCTACAATCTGGTAGGGGGTGGTTCAAAGGTAGAAAGCTTGATGCCTAAAACCATATAGCAATTTGGACTCTCCAGTTCCCAAGAAGAGTTTTGGGGCTTTTGCCCTTGTTCTGCCTGCCAGGGAGCTTTTGAAAGTAAAGCCCCTCTTTTGCTCAGTTCATCTACTAAGCGTCCTTCAGGTTTGACTTAAATGTCATTTCTTTTAGGAAGCCTTTTGTTATTTTAAAATATTTTAAAATTGATTTTAGAAAGGAGAGGGAAAAAGAGAAATACGGTATCAATGATGAGAATCATCAATTGGCTGCCTCCTGCATACCACACACCTGGGATGAGCCCTGAACCCTTACCTCCTGGTTCATACTGAGCCACGATGTCCGGGTTCAGGATGCCTTATAAAATCTCCTTAGATGGCCGAAACCGGTTTGGCTCAGTGGTAGAGCATCTGTCTGCGGACTGAAAGGTCCCAGGTTCAATTCCGGTCAGGGGCATGTATGTTGGTTGTCCCCAGTAGGGGGTGTGCAAGAGGCAGCTGGTCGATGGTTCTCTCATCTAGCTATCTCTCTCCCTTCCTCTCTGTAAAGAAATCAATAAAATATATATATTTAAAAAAAATTTTTTTAAAAAATCTCCTTAGATGGAGCTGAGCTCCTTTTCTGTGTGTATATACCCTAGCATATCCCTTTAATAAAGGGTTAACCCTAACTGAGCAATTACCATGTGCCAGGCATCTTGTGTGCATAATCTCATATAATCCTTGCAAAAACTCTATGAATCAAGTATCCATTTGCAGATGAAAAAAAAACGAAGGCACAAGTTCGTTAGCCTTAGTCACACTGACAATAATTGGTGATGCTGGGGTAGGACAAAAAGCAGCTTACTCCTTCCTCTTTCATGGCTCTTCCTTGTAATTGTTTCTCGTCTGTTCTCCCTCACTGCATTACAAACTCCTTAAGGCCAGGCAGGCCTGTGTCGGCCTCCCAGCATGTAGGAGAGTGCCTGTTACAGGTTTGTTGAAAGAACAAGCGAGTGGATATATTTTCTAGTTCCTACCCTTTCCCCAGTGGTATTGGAGAGGCTTCCCCGTCTTAGTATAAAGGCTGAGACCCCCAGGGCCCCTTCTCCTTCCTTTCAGGGCTCTCAGTGCTAAGATGGGAGATGGGCTGGCAATGGGTGAAATTGGAAAAACGAAGGAGCAGAGGTGTTTCCCTCCATTTTCTGGCCCCAATAAGACCACTCCTCTCGCTGAAGCTGGTTTGGCTCAGTGGTAGAGCATCGGTCTGCGGACTGAAAGGTCCCGGGTTCGATTCCGGTCAAGGGCATGTACATTGGTTGCGGGCACATCCCCAGTGGGGTGTGTGCAAGAGGCAGCTGGTCGATGTTTCTCTCTCGTCGATGTTTCTGGCTCTCTATCTCTCTCCCTTCCTCTCTGTACAAAATCAATAAAATATATTAAAAAAAAAAAAAAAAAGACCACTCCTCTCACCACAACTTCAAAGTCTGCCTTGCCCCTCAAGTTACCCCCTCAAGTTACTCAGAGAGCTGTGCCACACAACCAGCACCATCTGGCACTGCCCTCAGCTCTCCCCCACAGGCTTTCAGGCTCTAAGGAAGGAGGGGCTGGCCAGTCCCATGCCTCCCATAGGAGGGCCTGGAGTTGGCCGTCCCTCCCAGATGACACCCTGACCTTCCCCTAGGGACACAGCTGCCCAGCAAATCACTCCCCTCGGGCCTCCCACCTGCTTTTCCTCTGCAGCTGCGGCTTGCCTCAGTGCCTGACGGGCTGGGTTGAGTCACTTCAGCATGCGTTCTCCTTCTTGTCTGGCCAGTTTGGCAAATCTCTCAGGCTCCCCAGCCCCTGGACCCTGGGGGTGGGGGGATAAGAAGCCTTGCCCCCCAGCCAGGGCTTCTTACCCCCCACCCCCAGGAGCCCTTCTCTTTCCAGAAACAACCCCAGCCTAGTCCCGTCTCTGGAAATCACCTAAGCACAGGATCTTTGGAGCAAGAACCTCCCGGACCCTGGATCCTCTTGGTTAGTCAGATGAGGAGGGTTAGATAAGAACCCCACCCTGGTCTCCAAGGAGGAGGGGGAAAGGTGTGGCCTGGGCCGTCTGGGGTGGTTAGCCTGGCTCCAGACCCTCCCACGTCCCTCGCTCTGACTGCCAGAGGGGCCGAGTGCCCCAGACAGGAACTGCTCCACTGCTCCAGGGACCAGCCACAGCTCCTCCTGGTAAGGTTCCCAGATACGGCTAGCTCTCACAGAAAACCGGGAAGGGAGCTAACCGTACCTTCATAGGCGCTGACACCCTTCCCCCTGCCCTCTTGACCTATGTCACCTGGCCCAGTAGAACCCTGATTGCTATAGCTGCATCTCACCCCAAGCACCAAGAGAAAGACCCTGCTACTTAGGCCTGGCAGCAAGAGAACGAGTGCATAAGGACAGAGCCGTGCTGCAGGGCCCGGGAGCTGTCTCCGCACAGACCGCCTGTCTGTCTGTAAGTTCCCAGGCAGTTGCTCTCTCTCCCCTGGGCACTGAACTGTTTTCCCACACTGTGCCCTGGAGAGACAGGAGCTGGGCAATCCAGGGAAGGAAGAGCCACCCCCTCCTCATGCATACCAGGCCCAGAGAGGCTGAGAGGAAGGGTGGGCGGGCCTCAGTGTCACCCAGTGAGTGTGCTGGTTCTGAGGCTGCTCCTCCATCCTGCCCCAGGCTCTGGATTCGGAGGTGGAATTTAGCAGTCTAGTGAGGGAGTGGCTGCTCTTGGCCCAGCTGAAGTGGGAGCAAGGACTCCAAACTGGAGGTGAGGAGAACGGAGGGGAAAGGGTTTTGTTGAGAGGAAGAGAGAAGAGGAATGAAGTTTTTACCCACCCATTCATCTCCCCAGACTGTGTCCCATCCATGCCCCTTCCCTCTTGACCTGAGAGGAATTCAAAACCAGTAAGAGAGAGACTGTCCCAGCAGAGTCATTTCTGCATGACTGAAGAGTCACCAGCTGCATGATCCTGTTCCTTGCCACCCTACCCCCACACACATTCTCCCAGCAACAGTTTTTAGGACCTTTCCCCACTCCAGCTTCTTCTTTTCTTTTTCATGTTGAGAGTATGTTTATTAAAGCCAGGGACAGTGAAACGAGGAAGGACTTAAGACAGAAGCGCAACAGGACAGACCTAGGCGGGACTGCTTTGGCTCACTGAGAAGTCAGAGAAAAGACAGCCTAGGAGGCAAATTCAGGGGTTAGCCTGGGACAAGCTGCCCTGCCCACTGCACCCCTGGTTGCAAGTCTTGTGGGGTCCCTTAGAGCTTTGGAGATTTGTGCCTAAGAGGGAAGGCAAGGGGGGGGGGGGAGAAGGAGGGGGAGGGAGAGGGATGACAAAGGGGGGGGGGAGTGCGTGTGTAACCCCAGCTTCTAAAAGGCTGAGTCCAATCCACCCCCTCTGCCGGGGCCCTGGGCTTCCCGCACCCCTACTCCAGGCAGCCAGAAAGGAGCACAAAACCCGGCACTTCTGCAAACCTGTTTAATGCACTTAGATTACACAGAGGAAGAGGGGCACGAAGGAAACGACATCTAAGTGAGGCAGCCACGTTCTTACAAAAGTTCCTGGCTGGCTGCAGCCCCTAGGAACCGAGTCGCCAATGACATTAGAAACTAATGAAAATTTTACAAAAGTCTGCTTATTGCAGCATTCAGGTACTTATACAAAAGGAGGGCTCTCTCTATAGGGCTCCTGACTTATTATAGGGACCCAGGTACCTCACCTGGCACGGAGGACCTGGAAGCTAGAGAGGAAACACAATCCAATAAAAAAATAGTCAAGGGATTTTCTACTGGTCTGCCCCATAGGGGCACCAACTTTCAGCTTTTTTCCTGCTCAACTCAATCTCAAAACCCAGGCCCAAGACCCTGTGTTTATTTTTAAAACATTCTAGCCCTTTTAGACTCTCCCCAAGGCTTCCCAGTCCCAGAGAGGGAGCCTGGCCTCTGGAACAGGAAGAGGACAGGGAAGTGCCAGTTCCCTGGCCAGATCCGAGAGCTTGCATGAGCCTCTCCACCCCCTCCAAGTGGCAGCTGGGTCTGTGGTCCTCTCACATCCCATACTGGACTTGAGGAGCCACAGAAGTCTGCCTTGTGTAGCAGGCAAACAGCATGGGGCGCCCCTTCCTAGCACCAGGGACTGGGAGGGTGGGGTAGAGCCAGGCAAATCTCAGGGAGGCCAGTGGAAGAGGCAGATGAAAGAGGGAAGCTTCTTACCTCCCCACTCACTATGAGGTCGGGGCTCAGAAGGGCTGCAGGGAGGGGAAGGAGGGATATTGGTGAGCAGCCACCACGTTCCAGGCGCTGTGCTAAGCACAGTGCGTGGTCAGCTTTGCTTGTCCCTCACCAGGCAGCTTCATGGAGTACCCCTGGGAAGGCATGGTCACACAGGGAAAGGAGGGCTGGTCAGAGACAGCGGGTGCCCTGCCACTGCCCCAGAGTCACTGCCCTGTAGGAAAAGGAAATGGAGGCCTGGCCCCAGCATGACCTGGGAGGTTCCCAACATGAGGCAGGCAGGGGCCACAGGCTTCACGGGCTCATAGCTCACCTACTGCCTCCCATACTGATGACAAAGCTTATAAAATAGCCCCTCCCCGTCGCCAAACCAGGCAGGTGGAGGCAGGGTTCCAGAAGGAGAACTGGTGGAGAGCAGGTCAGGTGGCAGGAGAGGAGGAAAGGCGATGGCACCTCTTTGGCCACAAGGCATCAGAAGACAAGAGCTTCAAAGGCAGAGATGCTGTGGCAGACGGAGGCCGGGAAACGTCCTTTTGAAAAGTTCTGAGAAGGCACAGCTGCTGCCAGTGTCAGGTCCAGAGGTTGCACCTTGGCTGCTGGAAGCCTGGAGTCCCTCTCTCCCAATCCTCCAGAGGCTGGTCTGCCTTGACACTCTGCGTTTGATGGGATAAACCAGGTAGCCCTCAGAGTGTGTGCAGAGAAGGGGCCAGGCCCCTTGGAAGTCCAACTGCTGCTCCCTGGAGAGACGGTCGCTGTCTTCATGGCCCCCGGAGGCAGCTCTCCCATCAGGGGGCTGCTGGGCCCGATGGCCTCCTGGTGTGCACGTGGTGTTGGTGGGACAGAGCAGTCCTATGTGATCCCTGACAGACAAAATGGCTTTGCTTTGGACAGGCCTGGAGGATGATCTTGAAATAGCAGTCCTTGGAGTTGGGGGTAAAGGGCATGAACGGGGCTTGCTGATTCCAGGACAGAGTGGGAGATCATCTAAGAGGGACCCCAAAATCACAGGCCAGAAACAGACTGGCTTCTGGGAGGAAGACCATGAGAACTGCAGTACTGGGGCAAGGGACCGAGGCCCAGAGGCAGGACAGGAATGGGGAGTGAAGGATGAGAAATGGACGGATGCAGGGAGGACAGAAGAGCGGTAGAATGCAGTGTTTGCAAAATCAAAGTGAAAGACGTTGAGAGGTTAAGAAGCCAGAGTCCTGCAGCCTGGAGGCTGGGAGGCCAGGGGCTGAGGAAATGGGGCGGGAGTGGTCGAAGAGCTGGAGACCCAGACCCTGAGTGGCAGGTGGGGATGATCTGGGAGGCGCTGGCCTCACCCGCTCCCAGGCAAGCCTGGAAGATGAGGCTGAGGCCACCCAGTATCTGAGGTCCTGATGTCCTCTAATGGGAAGCCGCAGCACTCCTTCGTGGCCAGCAAAGTGGGCTCAGGGCTTCATGGGGGAGTGTCAGCTCTCCCCTGCCACAGGCTCCACCGGGCCCACCGGGGAGAAAAGCCTCTCTCTGAAGCTGGCTGCTAGGGCCCTGGGCAGGCAGGTGAACACCATACCTTCTCTGGTGGCGGCTCAGGGGGAGATAGCCCCAGGCCCTTGTCTGAGAGAATGCGAAAGTTCATCTGGCAATAAAGTTCTGTTTAAAAGACATTATATACACAGCTTCTGGACATCTCTGAAGAGCAATACAATACCATCGGTTTCTACAAAATAAAATAGAGGAAGAAAACCAAACACAATCAGAGGAATTGTTCGGTGGCAAGAGGAGCTTGACTACCAAGGCTCCCAGGCTGAGCTGGGCAGTGAACCCTGAGGGCCACCCCACCTCCTTCCTGCTGGGCGCTCGGCTGGGTGCTCAGGAGGCGGCCCGAGACCGAGGGGCACATTGAAGGTCCAGAGTCGCTTCTCAAACCAGAACTTGAGGCGGCAGCAGGAAAGGAAGGTTTGCATTTGCCCACTCGGTACCCAGTGGGATCAGGGCCTGGTCATGTGGGCTTGGCACCGCAGGTGAGGCGAGGTCAGCTGCCCATGCCTGGCATCCCGCCGGGCTGAAGGTGCTCCTGCAGGTGCTCCTCATCCTCACGTCTGTCCTTTTACTGGTGGGACTCGCTTACACCGAAGTCACCGGGAGCAGCCGGGTCTCCTGGCCCCTGCAGGGCCCAGCCCAGGCTAGTGCAGTGGGCTATCAAACACCACATCAGGCAGGATGGAGACTTTCAGCTTCTTCTCAGGCCAGCTGTACTCTTTGGGGAGTTTGAACTGTGGAGGGAGCAAGCAGAGAGCCAGCGTGCACATGTTAGCAGAACCCGTGGCCTGCTCTCCAGATTGCCTAGAGGGGCTGGGACTCTCACCCAGACCTGTCCCAGGGTGCCTGGGCAAGACAGGCCACTGGTTGCCTGGTTTCAATCTCAAACGCTAGATCCAGGTGGGTGGCTGAAGTCAAGCTGCTGGAGTTCGTGACCCCTTCCTCCCCTCTCCTGGCCGGGCCAATCATTAACCCCAGGTTGCGGGAGGCATGTTTTCTAACTCTTTCTTGACTGTGCTGACCTCCTTCCAGATCACTTCCTTGGTTCTGCCTCTGGCCACAAGCATGTAAGGAATCTGTTCCCTGAGGCCCTGGGGCTGGAGAATGGGGAGCAGGGGGAGGGTACAGATGCTACAGGGAAATGGTTTGAGGTCTGAAACTGCAAACCTGTCCCTGCCATGGCTTCTCTTTTGAAGCTGGTGCAGAAGGACAGGGAAACCTGCCCTCTGTTGCTTTTGCCAAAGGGACCGAGGGAAGGAGGCTCCGACTTGGCCTGGGAGGGAGCAGAGGTGCAGGATGGCTGGAGGTGGTTTCTGGGTCTGGTCATCCTCCAGGAGAGCAAACCCCCACTCTGCGCCCCTGCTCATCCTCATCTGCTTCCCAAGGTTTCCAGGCCAAGAGTGGTCCCAGTGGTGGCCAAGGAGACCAAGGTCTTCCTGCGCCCGCCCCCCCCCCCCCCCCCCCCCCGGAATCACTGATTTGCTTATAGTTTTGTTTCAGAGCTTCCGGTGGGGTAGAGGAAAGACACATCTTATTCCCTCCATATTCTAGGCCCCTGAGTGTGATCTGGCACACAGCTAGTGCTCAATAGATGTGCATTGACTGGGAAACAGGGTCCACCTTTCAGGACGCTCACTGTCCTGGGCCAGGAGAGAGGTCAGGCCAGCTGGACAGGAGGAAGAGCGGCCCTCAGCCTGTCTAGAGCTGGGGCTGGAAGCGAACCCTGATATTTCCTGGCTTGTCCCTCTGATGGGGGACTGTCCAGCCAGGACTAAATGGAGAGTGGGACAAGGGATGGGGACAGCCTCCGGACAGGAAAGAAGGGGGGAAAAAAAAGTCATTTTTAGTGACCTACTTTCCTAAGCTTCCCCTGGCTCCTGTCCCTCCTGCCTGGACTGCCCCCCTCCCACCCCCTCAACATCCAAGCGCAGAGCAGCAGCTGGCACAGCGCCATCCAGTGCTACATGGCTTCTCCGGAAGTCTTCTGGGCAGCTGGCTCTGGTCTGTGTGAATGGGAGCTGGGCCTCAGGGACCAGTGGCTTGTGGGGGCTGATTGGCTGGCACAGACTGGGTGCTTGGTGACTTTTGAATGTATAAATGAGTTAATTTATCAAGCTGTATCCCAGAAGAGAGAGGAGACACTGTCCTATGAGGGGTGACCTCAGGCTCTCAGAAGTTCCTGTCCACCTGGAGCCCCAGACAGGACAGGCCCGCCCTGTGCACTCTTCCCGCACCCCGGGAGGCTGGAGGCCACCTGTCCTGTGTCGCCCAGGAGTCCTGGCAGCTGGAGCTCCTGGCGGAAAGCTAGCTCCTGCCTGGCCTCTCCTTGGCTGGGAAGCTTGGACCCTGGGAAGTGAAGGAGCTCTCCCCCAAACACACTTCCCGGCAGAAAAGGCCAGGGAGGGCCTGTCTCTCCACAGGCCGGGGAGGGCCCAGGAGAACTCTCCAGAGGCCAAGGCCAGCTTGCTAATGTTCTACTAACCTATCGGCATCAAGGCCAGGAAGGCTCAGATCCCACTGGGGTGCTGCTTAGTAGGAGGCCAGGGGAGGTGAAGGGACTTTCCAGGATGAGGTAAGTCCCTGCAAATGAGGATGCCGGGAACAAGGAAGAAAAACAAAGGGCTTTATGGGCTCCAGTCCTGTACCCCCGAGGAGCAGCCAAGGAAAGCACAAGCGCCCACCTGGCCTGCCAGCTCCTCAGGCTCTGGGCTGGGTTAGAGGCGGCGGACCAAGAGGGGAGAGCCTCTGGCTGGGGAAAGGAGTCAGGAGAGTGGCTCCTGGGTGGCCTGAGGCGAGAGCAGGAGTCCCTTGCTGCCCACCAGAACTCCCCAGCGGAATGTTCTCTGGCAGCAGGCAGGAGCTTTCTGTTCAGAACCTGCCAGGAAACAGCAGGGGCCGGGGAGCACACGCACTAGCCTGCAGGCCCTGGCTGCCCTTCAATGCGGTTCTCAGGAGCAGGCAATGCAGTGTGCGGGTGTCCTTACGAGGACTGGGTGGTGGGAAGACAGAGAGAACGCTGTTTAACGTCTCCAGAGTCTCCTTCCAGCCTATCCCGACACCTGAGAGAGCGCAAGGAGGGAGGGATGGAGGGAGAGAGAAAGAGAAACGCAGACATGCATGCCCGCTCCTGGAGACCTAAGTCCTCTGTCAGAGGGAATCAAATAGGCTTACTTCCTCTGGCGAAGTCAAATCTTCTAAGTCCTCCAACATTTTCTCTACAAACTCTTCCGTCAATAGAATCTGGAAAGAAAGCACAAGACTTTTGTTTTCAATAGATGGTCTTTTTGCCAAATGTCAAGCTATGGACCGTCTCCTGGCCGGGGAGAAGATATGAGCCCCTGCGGTGATCTGTTCTGGGACAGAGGGAAGTGCCTATTCTGACGGTTACCCCCCTCCCGTCCCCCCTCCTCACCCCACTGCCGCCCCCACCCCCACCTACCTGCAATATCAGAGGAACTAGGATTAAGAAGGGGGGGCATCAGAGGACAATAGGGAAGCAAGGTGGGGCCATCTGGTCCCAGAAGGGATATGGGAAATGGGTGGGCAAATGCCAGTTTTGGCAGTTGGGGCCTCCTGCAGGTTTCAGTGCAATAGAGGGGAACAAAAGCCGAGGGGCAGAGAAGAGTGATTGCCAACATCCTTGCCCAACCAGGTCACATGTTCCCCTCGCCCTCACTTGGTAGGACAAAAGGAATCTGTTTGGATTTGGAATACAAGCCGGTCTGGAATCTGGAAATGCCCCGGAAGGTACATCCAAGAATGTGCTGGAGAATGTGGAATCTGTGCACCAATCTCTTGTTTTATAAATGGGTAAAGGGACTCTCAACTCCCACTTCCATCTGTGTACCCACATTCTCTCGGGCCGGAAGCTCCCAAACTCCGTCCTGCAGCCCATTCAGCCCGAGTTCCTCAAAACCTCCTTGGAGAAACCTCTTTTCCAGTTCGCCTCCCAGCTGTCCCACTTTGCTGCTCCAGTCGGCCACCTTGTCATGTTATACATTGATGTCTAAGACAGCCTGGCCCCGCTAGTCAGCTGGCACAACCACCACCCTCACCCTCTAAAGAAGTTTCACACCCACGGGGATGTCCAAGGACACTCAGGCCTTCCTCAGCCCGATGGGCCATTTTCCCAGCCGGCTCCTCTGCTCAGGCTGGCTCTAGAGCCAGGCCAGGCCCACCCCAGGCCTGACCACCCCAGGACCAGGCTGAGGAGGTCTTCCTCTTGCCAAGCTCCTCCCTGTGCTTGTCTGTGGGGCCTCCCCCACCAGACACCTCCACCACCAGGTTGTGGCTCTCCCTGCTGCTACTTTGCCTCCTCCGGCACACTTTGAATGACCTGGTGCGGCCAGAGGAAGGAAAACAATGGGCAACGATCAAAGTGAAGGATTCCTCTGAGGGAAAACCCTCTATGAGCAGGATGGGGATGAAGAAGTTGAGAAAATACCCATCAGATTTCCCCTGGGAATTATGCACTCTGATAAGAGCAGAAATTCCAACATTTAGAATATAGTCAGAGTCAGGTTGAACCGAAACCGATTTGGCTCAGTGGATAGAGCGTTGGCTTGCGGACTGAAAGGTCCCAGGTTCGATTCTGGTCAAGGGCATGTACCTGGGTTGCGGGCACATCCCCGGTAGGGGGTGTGCAAGAGGCAGCTGATCGATGATTCTCACTCATCGATGTTTCTAAACTCTCTATCCCTCTCTCTTCCTCTCTGTAAAAAAATCAATTTTATATATATATATATATATATATATATATATATATATATATATATATATATATATATATTATAGTCAGGTTGGGATATGAAGTGAAATGACAGGAAAAGCAGCAGGGTCACTAGGACCTTCCAGGATAGAGGACTCCAAAGGGAGGAGGTTGATGGGATACAGATAGGAACAAGGAATGAGCGAAACTATCCCAAGTGAATACACCAGCCACCACCTCAGGCATCCTACAAATGCTCACAGCCTTATCCCCTCCGTCTCCTTACAGATGAGGAACCCGAGGCACAGATAGGTTATGTCATCGGCCCAACACCTCACAGCTGTGAGTGGCTGAGACAAGACCACATCGCAGTCATTCCTGGACTTTGAAGTTAGTTGGTGCCTGAAGTACTGCCTCATTTCAAATCCTGAACTCTTACCCACATGATGTTTATGCTTTTGCTCATTCTTCCACTCATCTGCCCAACAATCTACATGATTCCACAGCATTCCCTGGGTGCCTCTGCTAGGCCCAGCCCTGGGTGGAGCCCCAGGGACATAGAAATGAAGTCAGTTCATTCCCCACCTGGACACCCCCCAACCCTTGTTGACAGGGAGCCAAAGGATATCTCCATTTCAGGCCATAAGCCCACAGTCAGGAACAAAACAGCTCCGACCACCGGCCTCCGTCTCCTCACTCAAGTTTCTGTTTGGGGAGCTTGGGCCTCAAGTGAGGACAGAGACAAGGTTCAGACAGGCAAAGCTGATCTAGGGAAACACCCCAGCGAGGGCTGCGGTGCCCCCGCCCAGTTCTTCCTCCCAGTTCGGCACAGTGGGACTGGCTGACTTCCTCTCACGGACTACAGTTCCCAATCCCACTGATCCTCCCACTGGGGTTTGGCTCCTTGCTCCTCCTCCTATTATCCCATGGGTCCCCCCCCCCGCCCCCCGCCCCCCACACTTCTCCCCCACCGCCAAGTCCGGAGTTTCTCTACCAGTTATCACCAGTCTGCCTGAGTAGTACAAAAGTCACATTCATATTTTTGGCATTTCCGGGACTTGTTGCCATCTCTTCAAATGCTAGTACAAACATAAGCATACCTAAAACCCAGTTACATTACAATGGCTCCAGTCTGGGGCAGGCTGGGCTGATTTCTAACCCACAAATAACTTGGAGGGAGAAGACTTTTCTGCCAGAGAGGTAATGAGTTCTGGGGGTGAGATGAGGTGGGGGAAGGCTCCCAGGGACTATGCCCACCCAGTGTGACTCCAAAGAGCTGTTTTACAGCAATGGAAGAGAGAACCCCACCAACGCTGAGTTCAGCGCTAAGCCAGTTCCTCTGACAAAGGCCTGGGATTGGTGGAGAGGGTGGGTTATGGGGGCTTTTAGTAGAACAACTACCAAGGGTGTAGGGTACCATCTGTCTGTGGACTCATTCTGTACTCAGCTGGGAGAGGGGATGGCAGGACCAAAAAAAGAGGACCAACCCTAATTGCTGGTTAATTTTCACTTCTGATGATTTGCTGGTTCCTGCTGGAAACTTCAAATTATTTTAAAGAAACTAAACGGGGTAAAATTATACATGAGATCTGCATGATATTAAGGGTGACATTCCCTGCAAAGGAACACGACAGACTGTCATAGCTCCAGGCACCTAATTTAATTTCCTTTGGGAGTTAAACCTTAGACGCTTGAATTCAACAAAGACCCCGTTCTTTGTATATTTCAGACCTGGAGCTGAGAATGTTAACAGATCTTATCAACAGGACACTGGAGATAGACAGCTATGATGGAGCACTCTCACTAGTAACAGACTCCCCGTTGTGATACAACTGTGGGAAAAGCCTGTGCAATTCTGGGGTTTGGGGTTCTTGAAGCTCATTGGGTCCCTATGGAGCTGCCTGGCTCTGCCACAAATAATAACGGGAACGGTGATGACAATGACAGTAGCAATGACAACACCACCAATAGCAGGAGCAATGCCTCCTCTGTGTGCCAGGCACTGGGCTTAGTGCTTGACCTGTACTGTTTCACCGAATCTTTATGGCAGTCCTGCAAGGGAGAAAACTATCATTTCCACTGTGTAGACAAGCAGGACAAGTGTCTTCTGGACTTTAAAGGAACAGTGACCTGCCCTGGATGGTGCTGCCAATGATTACAGCGTCAGCCAGTGTACCAAAGGGCTGCAGGTTCAATACCCAGGGCATGTACTTGGGTTGCAGATTTGATTCCAGCCTGATCGGGACACATGCAGGAGGCAACCAATCGATGTGTCTTTCTCACATCCGTATTTCTTTTTCTTTCTCTCTCTCTCCTTCCCTTCGCTCAAAAAAAAATAAAATAAAATAAAAATAAAAAAAATCCATGGGTGAGGATTAACATAAAAGAAGAGTAATCTGGTGATCTGGTCCTGGGTAGATCACTTGGTAAGAGCATCATCCTGATATACCAAGGTGTGGGATTGGTCACAGGTCAGGGCACATACAAGAACCAACAAATAAATGCATAAATAAATGGAATAATAAATTAATGTTTTTCTCTCTCTCACCTCCCTTCTTTCTCTCTCTCATCAATTTTTTAAAAAAGGGAATAGTAATCTGACCTCATGGTAGTAGAGGCACTTTTTCTATCTGGGGAAGGCACCCTGATTCTAGAAACCTTATATAATTAGTGCCAACACTGCTCTCTCCTTTGATTGGGGAGATGAAGATGACTTTGGCTTTGACCAATGCCTGGAAAATCAACAATCCTAACTCCAACTAGCCACATAACTCCTGGCTAGTTGCTCAGCTCAAAAGGGCTGGCACCCTGAGGGTCATAAACATACCTGCTCAAAAACCAGGTTGGACATGTCCAGCTGGGGTGGCTCGATGGCTGAGTGTTGACCTATGAACCAAGAGGTCACTGATTTGATTTCTGGTCAGGGCACATGCCTGGTTGAGGGCTTGATCCCTGGTAGGGGGTCTGCAGGAGGCAACCAATCCATGTTTCTATCTCTCTATACCTCTCATTCTCTGTAAAAACCAATAAAAACATTAAAAAAAAAACCCAATAGAATAAGTTGGCCAATTGGAAGAGCAGGGAAACCCATGCCCAAAGATGGTTTCCAAGTGGGACAGCAGGGAAAATTTCCAGGCTAGCTAGAGAATGCATACATAAGGCAATAGTTATTCTGGTCAGGAAACAGCAGTATAAATAATGATGATGATGATGATGAAAATTTTAAATAGCATTCACTGATGTCTAAACTCACAAAATGCTGGGCATAAAATGTTTATATTTGTGCACAAACAGTCCCCGGAGGGAAGAGACACTCTACTGCGAGGGGAAAGCCCCCAACCAACCTCCCTTGGGAAATTTTTGAAAATATGAAGACTAGGCCCCCATCCAGACCTCCGGAACCAGAATATCCTGGGCAAGGCCAAGGCGTGTGCATTTTAAAAGGCGCTCCAGAAAATCATGGCGGGTGTGTGTGTGTGTGTGTGTGTGAAACACTCGGGTTCACAGGGGAACGGAGTTTGGGCACAGGCTTAACCAGCAGGGGTGAGTTGGTGGCTGTAGCTCCTTGCCGCCATCACACTCTACCTTTGATCAGGGAGGGGGCTTGGAATCTAGGCCAGTAACTTAGTCTAAGTTACTCACACAGGTACCTTGGGGCAGCCTGGCTGGTGGTGATGAGGGAGGGTTGTCAACAGCTGCCCAATTTCCCAGGCCCCAGCAAGTCCCAAAAGGAACTCAGAAAGGGACTGTTTGTCAGTGCCTGCCCCGGGCAGGTCTGGCTATGCTACCGGCAGAAGCCCAGATGCTGCAGGTCTGATTCAAATGTTTGTGGTCAATGATATTTCTGAGTCTGCAAATAGTGCTGACAATGCCCACTCCGTCCCCCTGGTACGACAATCCACACTTTGTCTGGGGCCTTGTTTGCATTTCGTGTTGACACGTTGTTCTTGCTTTCCAACAAGTTTGGATTCTTTTTCTCTCTCTTCCTTCTCTGAGGGAAGGAAATTGTTGTTTACAGGGCAGGGCCAAGCCAAAGAGCTGCTCTGGCACCCATGATGGCAGTGAAGGAGCGGGGTGAGGAAGCGGTCCAGTCTGTGTCCCCCTCACTCCAACCTACAACCACAGCCAGAAACAGCCTAGAACACACACACACACACACACACACACACACACACACACACACACGCTCAGGGGCAGCGTGTGTGGCAGGTAAGCCTCACCCATTTCCCTTTCTCAGTGGGTGGTGAGGAGCTGGCTCTGGTGGGGAGGAGGTGGCTCTGACTCCTCCTGCTCTGGCTGTTTTTTGGCTGGTGAGGGCACCGTGGGCCATCCCATCACCTCCTGAAAGGGAGGGCAGTATATTTCCCCAGGGGTGCTGGGATCTAAACCCTAATGGGTGTGCCCCTGGACAATGAGGTCACCACGACAGCCCGAGCAAAGGCTTCCAGGGAGAACGGGCTGTGGCCTGGCTCACCAGTGGAAGGGAAAACTGGAGGCACTGAAGGGATTACCAAGTGTCTTTCACACACATCCAACTGGGTGGGTAGGGAGGGGAGAGGGCAGGGGCTTTTCCTGAGGACAGTGATGAGTCAGAGGAGGAGAGCCCAGCAGTGAGTCCCTAAACCTGGCCTGCAGGGTGGAGCCACTCAGAGCAGCTGCAGGGTTTCTTCTCCCAAGCCTGGGACCTCCCGTCAGGGCTGGGAGGCAATGGCTGGGAATGGGAGCACCACCTGGGTGAACTGTCAGACACCACACAGCTGAGAAAGCATTGCAGGGCTTAAAAAAATATTCTCATATTTGGTGATGTGACCCCTACATAACCTCTGGGGCCAACTTCCTCCCCTTCGATCATCCTGGCTGGGGACGGATGAATGACTTAGCTCTGGGCTGGGCTCCTGCTCACAGCACTAACAGCATGGTGATGACAGACTCAAGGGAGAGGGCTTGTTTCAAGCCACCAAGACCAAGAATTCTGGGGGAAGGCAGGCAGGAGAGGATGCTGGCAGGCCTCTCCTCAGGTCTGAAGACCTGCCTGCCCAGCTCCAGAGTTAGCCAATAGGCTTTACCATCTCGATGAGGGTGAAAACAGCAGGATGGGAGGGCAGAGGGAGTCAAGGTGTCCACCTCAATGGAGAAGCCTAGGAATTGGAGCAGGATTCTGCCTCTCCAGCTCCTCCAGGAAGCCAGACTCATCCCGTGCTCACCGTGGGGTTGCCATGACCCTGCCTTTCTGTGCTGCTGGGGCCTGACGTTCGTGGGGCTGGAGAGACGGGGAGAAAAGCAGCATGGAGAACAGGTGCAGGCCCAGATTCCCTCACTTTCTGCCTTTTTCTCTCAGCCTCTCCTTTGTCACTCTCCTCCCATGTGGGGTGTCTTTGCCATGCCTTTCCCCCAAGAGATAACAGGCCTGGGCTGGTAGCCAGAACAAGGTGCCAAGGCTGGAAATGAAGGCTTCCAAGACTGTTGAAGGCTGATGCAAGAAGTCATCCAGCCCCTCCCAATTCAGCGGGGACCAACAGGAAGGTTCAAGTAGCAGCCAAGAAAAAAGTCTGGGTCTCTTGCCCTTACTGGTGACAAGCCTAATCCCAGGCCCCAAAGAGGTCCTGCAGACTCCCAGGGAGACAACCAGCCTCAGAGGGAGACCTTCAGGCCCACAGTAATTACAGGCCCACGTTCCCACAAGCTAGGGAGCTGCCTATGACCACTGTGGCAAGACCCTAAAGGAAGTAGGCTGGCAGTCAGATGCAGAAAACGCTGACTGCTTGGATGGGGAGGAGGGCTGCTGTGGGTGTTGGTTCTATGGTGAGGACCAGCTGGGGGCAGGGCAGAAGGTTTCCCAGGACTTTCTGGAAAGGGCCTGAGAAACCCCTTGGTGAGTGAGGGTGTGTGCTTGGAGAGTGAGGCCCTAGCCAGCTTTCCTGGGAGCTCCCCTGTGAGTTGGCCCCTGTGGTGGACCACACTAATGAGCCCATAACACAGGCCTTTGATTAAGCAGCTCCCAGCACAGCAACTTTATTGAAACATGCTGAAGCCAGCGGCTGGTTCCCACTGCTCCCGGTTCCCCAGGCAACAGTGAACGGGAGGGAACATGTGCATGGGAGTAGCAGAGCCCTAGTACTGAAGCTCACTGAGGGGCTGCAGGCGAGGCGAGGGGAGCGGAAGTGGGCTGAAATGCCAGAGCTGGGGATAGGAGGCTTGGGAACTAGAGTTGGGTCCAGAACTGTAGGGGAATTGATGGGCAACATGGCATCTGCTCAGTCCTTGGGAGTTCAAGGTTCCTCGGCTTGTAAGAATTGGAGATGCTGACCACCCCCTCCTCAGGGCAAGAAGATGTTCCTGCGGGAAGTGGGACTCCAACAACAGGTTCAGAATTGAGGGTGTAAACTGTATTGGGGTGGGAGGATTTCTTTTTGAGTTCTGGGAGGCCCCAGGCTCTACTTTCCCAAGAAACTGCATGAACCTCCAATATACGCTAATGTTATCTGTCAGCACTCGGTCATCTACTGGGAATGATGCCCTGTGAGCTCTCAGGGGTTGGGGTCTCCTGCATGGTCTCCACCTTCCCCCTCTTGTCTGGCTCTGCCCAGGCAAGAGGCCTGCTCCTACCTGCTGTCCACAGAGGCAGCCTGGGGGCCCGGGACACCGCTGGGGGTGGGGTGTGGAGGCCTTTTCCACTTGTACTAAGCTAATTTCAAATGTTACACTTCAGAGCTTTTGCTACAGTAACTATCAACACCACATGGACAGAAATCTAATGTTACCAAGAGGGACTTTTAAAATGTATTTATAACTTTATGGTTCAAAGTAATTTTGTTATGAAACAATGTAATAACAACAGTGGAAAAAGGCAAGATAATTTATGGAGCACAATATCCCTAAAGCACCAGCCTCCACTTCTACCTTGGCTGAGTCTGGGGAGTGTGGTTGGTGTCCCTTGTCTGCTGTTTGTTTTAATTAAGGGTTAGTATTTTGGGGGAGGGGGAAAGAATGCCGGCCTAAAGGAGGAGAAATTCAGCTGCAAGACAACACACACATGCAGACAGAAAGCATGCCCACATTAACCGTGTAGTATATGCTTCACAGATCCTCCCCCATCCCACCCGGGACCGTGTTAAACCCACAAAACCCACAAACTCTTCTCCTCTCCTGTAATCTCAGCCCCACCCACAAACAAGGCAGGCCACCTTTTGGATTAGGGTCAGAGTCCCTTTCTTGATACTCCGGAGAGAGGTAAGGCAGAGTGTCCCTCCTCCCACACCCCAACAAACAAACAACAAACAAGGATGTTCCTCTAGTACAGTGGTCAGCAAACTCATTAGTCCACAGAGCCAAATATCAACAGTATAACAACTGAAATTTCTCTTGAGAGACAAATTTTTTAAACGTAAACTTCTTCTAACACCACTTCTTCAAAACAGACTCGCCCAGGCGGTGGTATTTTGTGGAAGAACCACACTCAAGGGGCCAAAGAGCTGCATGTGGCTCGTGAGCCGCAGTTTGCCCACCACGGGTCTAGTACACCTGGACAGACCAAGTACCTATGAGGCCTGAAACAGGTGGGGTCTGGAAGGGGGCCTGTAGCTGTCAGCCCAGCACCCCGTTTGTCAGTGGCACTGAAGCTGTGCTCCAGCCAGAACAGTAAAGGAGAACAAGCCAGCAGGTTTCTGTGCAGAGAAGCTGGTCTCCATCCGGAGGAATGGGAGAGCCACTGGATGAGGGGAGGGAGAGGCTCCGCCTGCCGAGGCCTGCCCATCCCAGCTCCGGGTCCACAGGCCCATTTTCTAGGAATTCTGGTGGGATTTCCACAGGAACTCGAGAGTGGCCCCCACCCATCCCCCATTCTACTTCACCCTTGGTTTCCCCAGGGTGCAGAGCACACCCCTAAAACCTGGATTTCCATGGCAAACATCTACCAATGGCCAGGGCCCAGAGAGCTATCACTCATGTCTCGGGGGGTAGGGGAGAGGCCAGGAAGGGCTCTGGAGCTGAGGGGACAGGCAGCAGCAGCCACACCCCACAGGGCTTCTCATACCAGCCCTCAGGAAGGAGCCGCGAGAGCTGCCGAGGGAGGAGAGGGAGCGGACGGGGGCTGGAAGAGCCCAGAGAAGGAGGTGGGAAGAAGAAAAAGAGCCTTCTCACTTGTAACCAGGGTCCATGAGCCGCGTAAGGGTGCTCCTCAGTGGCAAAGGCACCTTCCACTCCCGTGGAGACGAATGTGATGGCCATGTCACCTGTGATACTTTTATATGTAAAGTGCCGTCCGTGCAGGAGCCTGCCCCTGGGGGTGGGAACAGGAAGACAGTGAGCAGCAGGCCTGGCTGAGGCTCAGGGATTGGGGGCTCTGCTCCCTGGGACAGGATGCCTGGCACATGCCCTCCTGAAGGCCCACCAGTCCAGGGGGACTGTAACTACACATGGTCATCTCAGCACCTTCCAAGAGAAGCCTCTCACAATTTCTCTCATGGCGTTCTTCCAAAGCGCTCAAAGCTAGCAGACACTAGAGCAGCATTCAGAGGGCCTCGGGGGAAGTCAAGTCCGCCTCCTTCATGTCCTGGTGAGGCCAGAGAGGGCAGTTAGCAGTGCACCCTGGGTCATGCCCAGAGCTGAGGTGGGGTGGGTGAGTCATGGCCTCTTTGTTTAGAGGATGGGGGGGTGATGTAGTTCCTAATTTCCCACGCTCCTGGATGACGGTGGAGTGCCTTCAGAGCACAAGCCCTATGCCCAGAATCTCCCAACAGCTTGCCCCTCCCATCAGATTTAAATGACTAGCCCCCTCATCTAGGGGAAATGATGAATAACAGACTGATGAACAAGAACAGCATCGATCAGACCATTGGACCTCAGAGGGAAGGTAGGGGAGGGTGGGGATAAGGGAGAGAGATCAACCAAAGGACTTGTGTGCATGCATATGAGCCTAACCAGTGGTCATGGACAACAGGGGAGTGGGGGCATGCGTGGGGAGGGGTTTGCGATGGGAATGGAGGGGGATGATGACAAATATGTGATACCTTAATCAATAAAGTAATTAAAAAAATAAATAAATGACTAGCCCCAAAGGGAGAAGCCAATTTTTAATGTGAAAGAAAGAAAGAAAGGAAGGAAGGAAGAGAAAGAGAGAGAGAGAGAGAAAGCTGAAGCCAAGTGGGGTCACTCTGAGGGAGCATAAGAAGTCACTGTTAATCCCCAGTCTGGAAATACATCTGGGGGAGGGGCAGGCAGGAGCAACCAGTGGGGCAAAGATGCCAGTCAGCAAAGGAGGCAAAGCTGCTCTTTGCTTTCTCAGGCTGCCCCAGATTAACCCTTTACTAATCGGAAGGCCCTGAGCCTGGCTGAGAGGAAGCTGGGGAGGAAATGCCTGGGGTCCTAGCTGTGGGGAACGGGGGACCCTGCCAGCTGCCATTGGTCCTGACGACTATCTCTGCGCTGCTAACCAGGGTGGCTGGCGCAGCCTGTCACCACCCAAGCTCCTTCCCCAGGCTCCAGGGACAGTGTGGAGGGTCCAAACCAGTGCAGATCTGGTTCTAAGCCCGCATCTTTGGCCAACACACTATATAAACTTCGTTTATGTCACAATGACTTGTTCTTCCCTCTGATGGCAGCAGGAGCTTTTGGGGCTCCTTCTTCCCCTGTCCTCCTTCCTTGCTACTGATGTTTCGAATTATTCTTGTTGCCTTCCCTGCAATGAGCGGAGGGTGGAACCCCAGAAAGCTGTGGAGGAAGCCAGCTGCAACAGATGCAGCCCAGTGCAGCATCCCCTTGTGGGGAGCTGCACTCCGGACAGGGCTGGGTTTCTGGCACTGTGGACAGTAGCAGAAGGGACACAGCTGGGCTTCCTGGCCCCTCGAGGAGTCTGCTGGACTGGTCACTGGGTGTGAAGAGCTGCGTGTTTTACGTGGGAAAAGCAGCAAGCAGGAGGAAACAGAGGCCAATCCACCACAGCCCTGCCCTTCTACGCCAGTGCTCTGGGGACCCTGCCAGCCCTAACTCTGGGTTTGGGGGAGGGCAGGGGCATCTGAGATGCCCTATGTCACTGAGCTCCCTCCCCTCCTAAGGGAACAGGTTGAGGGACACCTCTCTGGACAAAGGAGAGATCTTCAGCACAGTGGGGGCTACTGGACGGTTCGGAGTCCGCAGGCTCCCGACAGGCTTCCATGGAGCTGCCTGACTAGTGCTCCTCCCTGGTCCCAGACTCCAGGGAGGTGTGGGGGGAGGGGGGAGGTGGCAAGCACAGGCACGGTGGCTCCTTGAGACCGAGTTGGGTGCTGTGAGGCTCTCACCTTAGGCAGAGAGGGATGAGGGCTCCTGACTCCTGGTTGAATTTCAGATGCACACTCTCGAGTTGCCGTGTGCGGATCAGCTCGTGGGGGATAATGGCTGTGGAGCTGTCGCTCTCCAGGCTGTCTTTGCGGCTCCTGTGAAGCAAGCACAGGCATAGGCTCTGACCACCGGGCGGAACAAGATGGGAGTCTCCCAGGCTGGAATCCTGAACAACGACAATGGCAGTGATTGATGGTAATAACAACAGCCCCCACTCCATAAGAACCTGCCCAGCCAAGATTTGGAAGCAGCCAAAGCCTCCATCAGGAGGTGAGGGGATAAAAAAGCTGTGGCACATTTATATAATGGAGTACTAGTCTGCTGCAAAAAGGAAAAAATGTTACCCTTTTGCAACAGCAGGGATGGATCTGGAGAACATTATGCTAAATGAAATAAGCCCCAGTCAGAGAAAGACAAGTACCATATGATTTCACTCATGTGGAAGCTAATGAACAAAAGAACTACCAAGTAAAACAGAGACAGACTCAGAGAGAGCAGGCAGACAGCTCTGGGTGGGGAGGGGGTGCTGGGGGTTGATGAAGGGATTGAGCAAAAAAGGGAACAAAAAGAATGAGAACTCATGGACATGGACAACAGTGTGGTGATTACAGGTGGTGGGGGGCAGGTGGAGGTGGAAGAGGGCATAGAAGGGATAAATGGTGATGGATAAAATATAAAAATTTTTTAATTAAAAAGAGAACTTGCTAAACAACCTTACAGCACCCCACAAGGTGGGCAGAACTGTTCTATCTCTTTACAGATAAGGAACGGAGGATCAGGGAGGGTAAGTAACTTGTCCAGGCTGCACAGCCATGGAGTGTGAAGCTGGGCTGTGGTCGCAGACAGATCTGGTTCTGAAGCTCACATCTCTGGCCAACACGCGGTATAAATGTTTGTGTCACGGTGACTTGTTTTTCCCTATGACGACAGCAGAAGCTTCTGGGGTTCTTCTTCTCTGACCCGGAGCCTCAGACTCCGAGTTCTCTGTGGTTACTAGAAACCCAGGAGACAGGCTCCAAAAGCTTCCTTCCAGCTGCTCTGAAAAGGCTCTAGGCTTACACACTTCTGCTGATGGCCAGGAGCTGCAGTGACATACGCATCCTTCGTCTGAGCAGGAAATGCTGCAGTCCTCGGCGAGGGGTGGAGCCAGGCTCTCAGAGGCAGACGGTGAGCCTGGATGGGCTGCAGAGCCCTGTACAGACTCTGACTGTGGCCTTGGCTACAGTGAGCTGTCACTGCTGCCTCATACTCCCTCCTACCAACAGCTTGTCCCACAGCTAAGTCACGGGGTCCCGTCGCAATCTAAGATTTGCTTTTTCAAGTTCAGCTGCCCCTACTGAAACGCCTCAAATCTGCCTCAGCCAGAAATGAGGGTTACCCACTGATCCCATTCAAAAGGCCGGATCCTGGTTTGGGCAGTGACTCTCAGAACAATCCCCCAGTGTCCATCAAAATACTGGGTGAGAAGCTCTAGTTATTTATAATTCAAGTGGCCAAAGCCACCCAGGATGCCTGGGCCTGACAGGCGGAGAGCCAGTGAGGGGCAGGGCCAACCTCCTCACACACTGGAAGGCTGAGCGCTGGGGTCTGCGGCCAGTGAGGCAGAGGACCTCCCCAGAGGGAGGTGTGAGGTCAGCAGGCAAAAGGCTGAAGGGCGACGTAGGCTTATAAAAGCCCCTGAGGTAATGGGGACCCCCCACGAGCTGGGTGGACCCATCCCTGGATGTATGTGACTGCTCTTTCACCAAGCACTCCCTCCCCTTGGTTTCCCAAAGCCAATTCTGAAACTGCCCTTTGCTCTCGCTTCTCCTTTGACAAACCCTTTCACAAGACCTAAGGGGACAAACGCTCTGGCCAGAGGGTCACAGAATTTCAGCACTGGAAGGAAACTCAGGTTGTTTCATCTCCCTCTTTCCTTTACAAAACAGAGCCAGGACACTGGTCTGCAGCAGGCCAGTGTGGGAGCCTAGGACCTCTGACCAGCGCTTTCCCTTATGTCCAGCTGCTAGGCCTCCTGCCTCCCTCCCCAGAAAGGAGAGCAACACTAAACATGGCCTCCTTCCCAGGCCCAGACAAGGGTGGGACTCAGCAGAGCTCTCCTGCCCCGAGCCCCTCCTCTGCTCCCGAGTTAGGAGCCCAGAGATTTTCTGAGTCCTTGCATCAAACACCCCAGGTAGATTCTAGGCTAACCCTACTTTTACAGATGAGGAAACTGAGGCTCAGAGAGGTGAGGTGACAAGCCCAAGGTCACAGAGTGAGTTTAAGTGCAAGAGGCAGGGCGTGGCTCTTACACTTGCTTCCCTGTGCCATCTCTGACTACCCTGGTGCACACTGACATATCATCGTGCTCCCTCCGGAAAGAGGCTGAGGCCTGGCTGCCAGGCAGGGCCCCAGAGCCTGCAGGGCCTGCTAGGAGGATCCAGGCCTCTCTGGCACAGGCAAAAATGCTGATGAATAGCAACTGGGAGTGGGGGTGGGAGGCTGGGAGAGAAGAATCAACAGCACACAGGACTAGAGACATCTCAAGCTGGAGGGAAAAATAAATTGTTGAAAGTCAGCTAAAGTCACCTTGGTAACTGCTACAACACACTCACCCTGAACGAGGACATCAAACCCAACTGCAAACAGCTTTAAAGAAATGGAAAAGAACTTAATCATCTGAAGAACTAATGTGACAAGTGCCCACATTTACACCTCCCACCAACCTTCAATCATTTGAAATCGTACTTTAATCTTTGAAGAGAAAAAAAATCGCAGAATGCTGGATGTGCAGTCCTGGAGCTCGGGTATTTCCGGCATGCTGCTTCAATGGAAATGCGGCTGCTCCACACTCACGCAGGAGCCCAGCTTTTTGCTGATTTGTTTTTTCTGGACATCGATTCAGAAGCATGAATTATTTGTGTGGGCTGGGTGAGGTATTAAATCTGCAGCCGACACAGGTTTGCAATGTTTTGCATGGTTGTCAGCTTAATCTTAGTCATAAAAAAATAGGTAGTGTGCTCGCTAGCATGGCCTAATTTTTCAGCGGGGCTGTTTTCTCCTGGAGCTCCCAGTGGAGGGGAAGGCAGAGGTTAGGGGCTGGAAGGGAGAAGGGCTCCCAGGGAGGCATGGCTCACACCCCCTAGGACTGCTGGGATATGGAGCCAGGGGTGAAGGATGACAGAATGGCTAAAAGCATTGGTTCAGGCAAATGACTTAAACCTCTCCCTAAGCTTCCGTATCCTCTTGATGGAAATAAATAACAATACTCCTTCTTTATGGGATTAAATGAGATGACCCAAGCTAAGCACCTAACAGTGTCTGGGATGTATTAGGCACTCAAAATATATCTGGAATGCATTACCAGGATGTTAGAGGCTGCCTCTAGAAGACTATCTGCTCCTCCTGCAAGAAGCTGACAGCTTAATACAGACTGTTTGCCTTTTCCCTGGGCCCATATTCCATCTGCTTCTGGCCAAGTCATCCCCCCTTTCTGAGCAAAGGCTTTGCCCTGAGCTTGAGAGGGGGCTTCTGAGATGGGGCTGGAAAGGGGCCCTGGGAAGGCCCAACTATAGGCCAATGAAAGCCCTTGAGGCCTCCCTCCTGCATCGGCCTTCCTGTAGTTCTCACTCACTCATCGTCAAGATGCCCAGGAAGTTTAATCCACCCTCATGACCGCCTTTCAAATCCCTAAAGCCGCTCTCACTGCCCATTAACAATTTCTCTTTTCCAGAATTTGTGGCCCCTACTTCCAATTATATTTTAAAGACAAGGTTCTGGTATTTTCCTTCCATCCACATCTCTCTCCTATGAATTCACTCTGGCGCATAAAGCCAGAGTGTCGTGTCCAGAAGTGAAAGGTTGTGTGTGGAAATAACTATACAATGAGGCCTAACCAGTGCAGATTACAGAGGGACTATGAGCTTTCTTGTGCAGGATATTTTATTTCTCTTAAAACTGTCTTCAAATTGTCTATTCCTTGTAACCTTATTGCACTGCCAACTCATACTGCACTCCCCTGTGCTGCACTGAGACCTCTTCACCCCCATCTTGTGGGTCCTGTGGAGTTTTTGGGGCTAAGAGCAGAACTCCACACTATCTGGCTAGTGTTTTAAGCAGCTCGGATATTCCTGAAAACTGACTCTGGCATTCATCATATCAGCTCTCCCTTCTGACTTCACATCACTGACAAAGCTGATAAACTGCCATCAATGTTCTCATCCCAGGCTTTGACTAACTGAACAGGACAGGGCCAGGCAAACAGGCTGACAGACTGACATCAGTACCCTTGGGTATGCTCACTCAACCAACTATAAACCAACCCAACCGTCCCATCACCAAGCCCCTCCCCCTCCTGGATGCTCTGTGGACATTTCTCTGTCTTGCCAACAATGATAGCAGAGGGCATTCTCAAAATGTCTTACTAAACCCCACCTATAAAAGCTCCACAGTACTTTCTTTGTCTACCAGGTAGAAATAAGTAACTTATTTCCAAAAAGGTACTGAGGATGGCCTGGCAGGTCTGACTGTTCATGAGCCCCTGCTGACTCTCGGGGCTGTTTCCCTTACGGAGTGTTCACAGCCTACTTGCTGAATAATCTGGTCCAGAATTTTTCCCGAGTTGACACCACGCTCACTTGTCTAGACATTAGAGAGTCAAGATACTTTTTGCTTTCAGTATGCCCATACCTCTCTCCCATCCCCTCAAAGATTCTGACTTCAGCCTCCTGAATTTCATCTGCCAATTTGCCTGGGATTCTGGGGCACAATACATGTGGACCAGGAGATTTGAAATCATGGCTTTGATCCTCCTATGCCTGTGTGATCACCTTCCTGATCTGACAACCATTCTTTTTGAAATGGAAGCATAAGAGAACTTGAGTAAATTTTGCCTCCTTTCTGCCACTGATTAACTTTACTCTGCCCAAAAAGGAGTAGGTTTTCCTTCTTGCTGTTCCAAACAGAAGTACAAAAACTGAAGTCATTTTTGCTGGTCAAAACATTTTTGCAAGACTCAGTTCTTAAATATCAGCTTTTCTTGACCCTGTTCCTTAAAGTCTGTGTTGTTATAACATACTTCTCCTTCCAGCTTTTGCTCAAAAAATTTTTTTTAAAA